AGAATGGCAGCCAGCTCCCAATACTTGATAAAGGACACGATGTACGCCGTGACGAAGAAGGAGAAACTTGCGAGGGTGATGCCGACTTTCTCGGAAGTACCCGAGCGAATAGTCTGAATATCGCTGCTCAGTCGCGAGGCTACCTCACCAGGAGGCAGGTTATCGAAGAAGGAAGGTTCCTGGCGGAGGAGGTTCTTCAGGTAACGTTCACGGAGGCGCTGGGTCAGACGAGCGCCGTACAGGGTCCAGCACGTGAGGTGGCCATAGATGAGGACGAACTGGGCGATTGCCAGGTAAACGATCAGGAGAATCTCGTGGTTGATGCTGTTGGAATCGGAGGAGGTGCTACCTCCGCCGTTTTCTTCTGTACAGGTCACGTCATTGAAGTTGTCGAGGAGCTGACCGAAGACGATGGCGATGATGGGAAAGGGGACACCCGAACCGATGGCAAACACGATGGCGGAGACTAGGGTACCCAAATCGTACTTGGAGGGGTTACCGGCCAGCAGCAGGCGGGGATAACCCGCCAGCTTGGTGAAGAATGCCATGGCGACGAGGGTCGATGGTCGGAAAGCCTGGACAGCAGCAGAAATTCTGGCCGGCGCCGCGGTTGATTTATTGCTTCGACGACGCGGCGTTGTCAGTGCGTCATGGGCGAACAAGGCCGCTTTTCGGCTGCCAGAATACTGTGAGGGGGGTTCCACAGTGGACCAGCTTCAGTTCGAGAAAAACTCAACCAGGGGTCCTGCAGACGTCCGAATGGAGGAGGGGATCATCTGCGCCATCCGGGTGGGCTAGATAGATACTACGTATTGAAAGCTCTCGTCTAGGTGAGAAGAAGGCCCAGATTAGATGGCCGGTCTCGTTACGTTACTCAACTGGGATCGCGGACATCTTGGAGGCCAAGGCTACCATTATACGGGCAGATTAACAGTGGAAATAGGAGTGGAGAGAGAGCGAAAGAGGCAGAGAGAGGGGAGGGAGGGAGGGGGCGCAATTAGTGCGATGGCCACGATGAGCCAGAGGTGGGCATCAAATCAATCCATCAAAATCCACTGTAAGACATGATACTTGCCAAACGATGTAAATACGAGGGTGACGAACAGTAAGATTACTGTAGTGGAGCCTGTAACAGAAGCTAGAGTGTAAGATACATCAGTAATTGCGCCAAAGTGAAGTTGTCTGAGAAAAGTGTTAGGTAAATTGGGGTTGATGCAGGCTGAGGATTTAGCCCGTCAGTCTCCACCCGTAAGAGACAATGTGTGTGACCGGTATGCAGTTGTAGTGAAAGATGTATCGTATGTACCGTATGGTATTGAAAGATGGCTATCTATCTAGGGTTAGATCCTGCAGGGGATGTGGGGCCTTCGCTTCTTTTGGTCCCGCAAAAAGAAAAACAAAACTTTCCGGTATTTCTTCCCGCAACAGGAAAAGAAAAAAAGATGAAGACTGCAGCTTGGCGCTCCACGATGTTGCGCGGTCGGCCAATTCCAACGGAGCCACTGTTGAAGTCACAATTCCCAGCCGGTGATGGATTTAACGTGGTATTCCCCCTACATTGGCCATCCATGGTTGACCCAGGACCCAGTAAGCACATCCAGCCAATTGACTAAGTAGTGCGGTTGTCCCGCGATCAGATAAGCCCAACAACGGATCACTACCGCCCTTGAGGATGTCCACAAGAGTGCAATCCTCCTGATTTGGCTACGCGTCGGACCATCCCAAAAGTCTGGGAGCTGTTCGATTCGGCTACAGTGTTCCATATAGTCGGACATTTACCGTTCCGGTCAACTGTATACTGTGGGCAGATTTCGGTCAAAAATCTAAGATAGAATTTGTAACTTTCCCATTACTTGCAGTTAGCTTTGCCAGATTGGGCATAGTCGGCCGTTGTGCCGCCCTGTCACCAGTCACGCTATCTCAATGTTGCAATATTGACTTCGATCTCTCCATGATAGTCTGCAAACACTCGAGCTGTTCGACGCTTATCCTGCTCTCCAGAAAGTCAGAGAAATCCAGTACCGCACAAATGAGAGAACTCACCCGCGAGTAAATGATCTAATCTTGCTCGCTAGACGTAGAGACGCAGCAATAGCTGTTGTTGTATGCATGGTTCGCGCAGGATCCCAAGGTCTTAAACGCTGAATCAAACCATCCCCCTACACTTATTCTAAGAAATTCCACACACCCTTTAAGCAAGATCTACAGCTAGGAAAATAGCTCCCAACGCCATGAGCGTTCCGAAAAGCGCAATCAGCGAGGCCCAGTTGTTTGTGCGTCGACCAGAGCACCGGTGGCCGGAATGCCGACTAAAGCTCTGTAATTTCTTATTGTCTGCGAACAACAATATGGAGGGCAGAGAGGGAACATAGTAGACCGATGCAGAAGGTCAGCCAGCCAACCGCGTTGTGGTGTAGTCCCTTGCATTTGCTAACGGGCTTCTGAGCTACCTCATTGGGATCCGAGTTATCTGTGATGCTCTGCTATGGGGATACCTGAAGAGGAACCCTAGCTAATATTCTTCAAGCTAATTGCTGCAATACACTAAGGAGGAAATGATTCCTTAAACCGAAGACGGTGCACCAGGCTTTGAACCCGTCATTGGGGCGTTCAAAGTCAGTATGGACTAACTTGGCCTTGATGTCGGAAGAAATGATTGAATCAAAGGACGGCCGAAGACTTCGCAATCATCTATTTATCACTGTTTTGTGTCCCTTTCATATACTTCACATACTCTTTACAGCTCTGTGGAGTAGGGATTCTGAACCAGACAAACTCCGCAGACTGGCTCGGGATGTTCCCTCTTATCCCATCTGCTCTGAATAAAGCTGGGAAGTCATTGACAATGAATGCAACCATATAATACATACCAAGTCCTCTCCAATAACTCAGAATGACTATTCAGTCCGCAGAGACACCCCATCTCCCCCCAAGCTCCGCATCGCTCGGCCCTCACGTCTTCTATATGTCCCCTCACTGATACTACTATGGCTCACATTGTCCAAAAAAAATCCTGTTTTCCTATCTGAAGCAGTGGATCTTTGAGTCAGGAGTTCAGTCCGACCATCATCATGAACCGATGAGAGCTAGGTGTTTGTGAGTCTATGCAGAACGGTCTTGCAAGCAAGCAAGCGCACCACCTCAACCTTCTCTCTCTGTATCTCCTATCAATGTCTAAAGGGAATTGACTTCTCCCATACCGATTTCACCTAGGGATAGGCACGTTTTCAGGCCCTATGATGTGCTGTTCGAAGACGCTTTTCGTCGCCTTTTCCCGTCAATTTCATCCAAAGTGGGTCTTTTGGTCTAAGCTTTGCCTTTCCACGGAGTGTACACGTCTCTCATGTTGGCGAAGTCCGTCCCACGCCCCAGAAACGGCTTTCAGATCGCTCTCATCTCTCACAAAATGAACCAGATTTATCAGTGGGCCGTCGACCAACGATTCCTATACCGCTGCCTCCCATTCATTCATAATGCACGGCCACTCTTTGATCACACTGTATTCACATCATGCACCAGGACTTCGGCGTGCTACATATGTTGTCCACCCGCACCTTCGTGAAGAAAAGCTACATCGGGATGAAAAGCCATGGGGAGCTGTCTGTGGTTCTATACCTCACTATCTCCGTCAGCTCTACTGTCGTCTAGACCCCGGAGCTGCTGCTGCACTTGCAAGCCACCCTGCCCAAGCCAAGGACGCAGATGTAGCATAGCGTAAATTGGTACTCGAACTTTCAAATCATATTGCTACCCCCTCGATCACGGCCCTCGCCGTTATTAGTCTGCTCACATGCCCTCACACCAATGGCGACTGCCTTCCAAGCACAGTGCTGTTGCTACGTGCCTGCGGCCTACTGATGACATGAGTGATGCGCATCTACAGCCCATATTATCCGGGGGAATACGAGCGGCGGCGATTGAAGGAGTGTGCTGGAGTTGAGGCTGAAGTATAGCAGTGCATCTGGTGGCACATGGTCTCATTGATCTATTTATCTCGTCTTAATCCTCCACTGTTCCTAGAACGCCACAATAATTTCTGCAGGTTGCTGGCTTTCCCCGGTGGGCTACAAGAAGATACCACCGTCTTCCAACGCCGATATATGAGGCTCATACCCAAGTAATACGGATGGTCAAATTATTATCGACGCTGGCATGAGCTGTAAGTCCCCTTGAGAAGTGATAACGGCCATGTCAGCCTCGATCGCGCGAATCGAACTTACCTCGTTGTATGAGACTGTCAAACAATAGCCAGCGAGTAGATTTGATTCAAACAAGTGTGATTGCGAGGCTATTCTGAAGCTTGATGCCCGGTTCCTGTGAGGATCCAACATCCCTCACATTTAGTATTCACTACAGGTTTATAGGTGATGCGCGTCCTGAATCTGTTGACTCAGAATTTTAGTCTTCTACCGGATAGCCGAATAGTTAGTAGTCTGGATGAATCACACCTGAAGCGCACCAGGACTGGATCGTGACACTGTCTCTGCCGCCCAGAGACTATTCTGAGCCAACCGATAGCTTCATCTTGAAGTGCTGCTCGAGTCGAAGGTGCAGTGGCACTGGAAAGTGCCAGGTCCCTAGCATCCAATAAAAGATGGTCAACTCGACATGGCCCAAAAGTTACATGCCTTCAGGAATCAGGACCACTTCTCAAACATTGATAATTATAAATGAAATAAAAGGTTTGAGAGCCTAGCACTTTACGAGGGCAAAGTAATGCGTATCTTCGTTTCAAAAGCCTTGTATGTTGGTTCCTGGCTATTTTCCCTTACTACTGACTTGACTTGGTGGATTCTCTACGGAAACTTCGAGGTTAATTGAACTGGCTTTTATTTTGCAGCGTGGTGGGTTTGCTTTATAAGGTTCAAGATGAATACTTCCCTCTGCATTCGCATTATGATATAGGAAAAATACCCCAAATGAGCCAAAAACCTATATCGAGGTAAGGTAGACAGAAAGGAAAGGTCTCCCCAGAAAGTACATCCCTTGGAAAAGGTTCACTAATGGGCGGTAAGAAACTTAGGTATCCAATCGCCCTTGTCGTCCTCATATGCACACGCAAAACCATTATCTCCCTCCTTTTCCTTATAGTGCACATATACTCTCTTTTTCGACTCCACGTACCGGGCATCAATTCCACTACCAAGCATGGGCCGAAACTCGTTTCCCAAGGTCCATTTACTCCAGCCCTTGGTGAGTTCTTCCTGCCTGGTGTCCCATGTTATCTGCTCCAAGTACCCCTCCTTCACGTAGTAGATTCGAATCTATTTAGACAATTAACATCATACTGTCTATATTGATATAGGGAACCGCTTGCCTCGACTATGTTTTTTTGGTCTTTTTCGTCGTAACGTGGGAATGAGACTGCGGTAATCTGTGTGCCTTTGTCTGGCTTGATGTAGCGTTTCTCAAGCTGAATTCTGTGAGGACCCACAAAATTATCGGTGACTTCGGGGTCGCCACTTAGAATGGCCAGGTTTCCGTCTTGGTCCACGAAAATCTGATAAAGCTCACCCCCGTTGTATACCGCAGCAAGAGTCGAGCTTGACATTGCTTAAGAAGGGTTTGAGAAATTCACTGAATAGAGGTTTGAAACGCAGAATGACAAAATAGGCGATGATGATTTCGTACTTGATGCTATGGAAAATGACAGCACCAAAGCTATCACCCATGTGGGAGGTTGTCCTTTATAAGTTCCATGGAGCTTGTGGCCAAGGCCAGGCACGCTAATTGAAAGTATATAATGTATTCGGTGATTTCATCCTGCATTCTTGCTTTCACAAGCACCTATTATGTTAGATGCTCATAGGATCGTATGACTTGGGACAACCCATGTACGTGTACGAGCATAAAAGCGACTCTATGGAACAGAATTAAGGCAGCGATAATGGTCACAGAGCGTACGAAAATGATCATCCAACGCGGGTTTCCCAAATTGGCCATCCGATGCAGGCTGCCGAAAATGTAGCTGTACTTTACTGGTACCTACAGGGGATAATGCACTAAATGATGCATGACACATATGTCGAGCTTATCCGCTAGTTACTCGCCATATATTTCCCCCCCAATCAGGATGGGTTACCTGGAAAACCACCAACAACTCAAAGCCACATATATTGCAGGAGTACAAATGGGATATCGGCTGTCCCATGTGGAGCACCATGTTAGTTTTGTATATATCTACTTTGCTTCATCTTCTTGGCGGGGTTTGGCTCGGGGGTCAGAACCCAACGCGTGATTTCTTGAGGTCTAATAACAGCTATAAGATTTGCTACTACTGACTCGTTAGGGGCGAATTAGATTCGGACACAGAATGTCATAGCCACCACCTCACTTATCCTCGCTAGCCATCGGCATATCCGACACACGAGTAGGAGGCCTCTCTCAAAGACCCGCCAAGAATGGGTGTGAGTAGAACCCAAGCCCAACAAAGCAATAGTCCGCAGCCTTGCTCGTACATGACTTTGGGTTCCTGGGCCGCGCGCAAGACCATCCGTATGAACCTGTGGGTGCGACCTTGGAGTCCTTGGACGAGGTTGAAGACAGAGAAACTGACCCATTCAGTGTGTGTCTGGCATGAAAAATGATGCATTAGCCCCGCAAGATCATGTGTGCGCCAAAGACCACGTACTCCGTACAGCGTCAGGTGTCTAGGCAGAATGAGTTAATGCGACTAGCGACACCAGCATGTATGGCAACATGGGACGGACCAAACACCGGTCGTTACAGACCTGATCGACGGGCACTTACAGATCTAGAAGGAAACTAAACGAGTCAGGTAACCAGGTGACATGGCCTGTATTGGGAATCAAGTGCATGAGACGACATGCTCCCGTCTTTGCCATGTCCGGGCTTTGTTGATCTACATGAGTGAAAAGCAAGGCTGACAAAGAATCCAGGTGTGGCCGAATGTTCAAGTCCGACAGAAACCCAGTCATTGATTATATCAGCCGGGGACTGAACCCCCTGGAGCCGGCCGCTAGAGATGGCCCGTCCCCTCCCGCGATTGACAGCACATCCTCGCTCATACCACGGGGGAAAACTTAAACCTTAACTAAAAAGCAAAATCTCTTGTTCTTGGCATATGCCTCAAACGTTCAATCACGATCCACCTCAGATATTGGTACTCACAGCTCATGTATTGGTCGCATAGTGCGGCCCCGGGCTAACGCAATTGAGATATATACTATGTAGGGATTATCCTCTATTCAGGTATACCGGCTTTCGGAATAGTCATGGCAGCAACATGTCTATATTTCTGGTGGTGCAAATGTATTCCTATGAGAAGGATACCATGAAGAGACTTGTTATACTCTGCAAAATCCTAAGAGAATGGGGAACAGCTGGTGCGCAGGCGATCAATAAGTCTATGTTCCAAGTAGTTTGTTCCTACCTTACCAATACTAGACCTAGGGATATTGGATATAAATCAACACTAATGAAAGGACATTCATGGTCCTGCGCCATCACAGTCAATAAATTCGTATTCAGAAGATTGAGAAATTCCCAGTTACTTGGCACTTTCTACATGCGTTGTTCGAATGTCATTACTGTAAAGGGTTGTGATAAGGGGAAAATTCACTCTCATGTTTATCAATTTCTTCCCCTCCCACTGGCGAAGCAGAGAACGCACGGAGGTCAGCAAGGCAACTACAATGTCAAGGATTAGAGTCAGACAACACACCAACGACTGCGATATTGGCGGGGTCAGGGAGGGGGCCTTAGCGCCAGAGGAGAGCTGTCGGGTAACGCGGCATTATATCCATGTGGTGCCTATAGATGGTGACTAGCGATAGGACAACACTACTGCAACATTCGAATATCCAGCCTTAGCTGCTGTTGTTCCAGATGCATAGGCTCATGTAGAAGTTACCCAGTTCTTTAGGTCATCGGGGAACCAAGCGCCGAAGAGAACGAATCTATTTCAGAACAATGTAGATCACCAGATTACCAGAGTCTTGATCACGGAATTGGGAAGGGAGATTACCCGAGATAATTCCATTGTTCAGGGTTCTGACTATGCTACCGGATTTGACAAATTTTGGCTTGAGGTATTTTGGGGAGCGAACTTGCAAATAACTAAACTGAGAAATCTAGTATACATGGTTGTATTATGTACAGCTGTGACCGTAGTATCCTCTTGGCTGGACTTGCCAAAATTTTGAAGAAGTGCCTTACTAATTATATTGAATGCAAAAGATTCCCAGGTAATCGATGTCAAGGAATAGGTAACCAAAAGCCCGCCGTAAGCGCTGCATCTGATGTATAGCTATGCCACCTTTTAGGACTTGTCACCAATAGCAATGGTTGGGGGTAGCGGAAAGGCTATAAATTGATATGCTAGACTAAGTGAAGATGGTTGTCGATGGTGGAGAGTCAGGTCTCCAGCTATATATTGTCCGTTGTGATAACCGGGAAGCACGCTCAACTTGGATTTTTTCAAGCTCACCCATACTAAACAATGCCCGACTTCTCATCCTACTTTCGTGTTCACAACAAGCTCGGTGTACCCTTGGTACAGAAATCTCAGAATGTGTACTCCGGCAGTTGGCAAGTTTGGCCAGCAGATAAGATAGACGGCTATACTAAGAGTGACTGGTTCCAACTCAAAGATAATTACGGTAAACGGCCGTAAAATCTCAAAAAAAAAGAAAAAAATTTGGTTTACTCATCGTCACAGGATCATTCGGCTCAGATGGCGAAGTGCAATATGAAGCACATATTGATGGCGTAACCCACCGGATTCAGTTCAAAGTCAAATGTCCATTTACAGATCCAAATTATGCAGCTGTTTGGATTCTCAGTTCTGAGCACAATCCACCGCTGGTGACCGTGACGAGTGTACCGAAAGAAGGAAATCCTATGCGAGGTAGGTATATATGCACTTCCATTTGTTCAATAGCTAATATATCATCATACACAGCCGAGTTTGTAGTCATGTCTAGAGATTACTAGGTGAGCAAGAGCTAGATAATGTGAATCTCTACTAGTATTCTCTAAGCAGATTATGCGGTACACTGATTCTGAATGGACCCAATTCCTTCTTCAATATACGTTCTCATGCCTGGAAGGGTACGCAAAACTTAGCACAGTATGAATATTGCAACTCCTTGGATTATCGCTGGGCTTAAATAACGCGTATGACACACAGTTCAGGCGTAGACATCTTGAATGGTACTCCAGTAAGGAGAGTAATGAAAATTCATCATCAAATCGAGGGACTATATTTCCAAAAGGCCGTTGTTGAAGTATTGTATTTTTTTTTTTTTTTTTTTTTTTTTTTTTTTTTTGTGTAAAGAAAAACCCGGTATATGTTGAAGTTGTTCTCAAATTCAACACCATATTTACATTGGTGGTCAAGGGAGCTTTTCGCTATTTGCAAATGATGGGAAGGCGCAATAGCCACGTATTCAGATCCCTGTAACCCTTAATGCTAGAAGACTACTAACTTCAAGAGCTCGCGCGGTTGATCTACTATTGGAAGATGTCTCGGCTAAATCTCGACAGGGTTGATCTTTCTAGCCAGCAAATACCACTGCATGTTAGAAAAGTGTGTACAGTGCGCATTGGGATGAGGCTGGGGCCAGTGCGACAAATGCTGAGGCCGTCTCGATCAACGGTTAAGGGTAATGCCCGGGATGAAAAGATGCAACAAATTAAATTCTTCTGCGAGGCTTTAATTGCGGGAATGGATGGTAGTAATTGCTGCGGGCGGGCAGATGTCGCTTGGGTCGGATACGTTCCAGGGTAACGAAACTGAATATTTTCTCTCCATCTTAGATCGTGAATACCCAACCACGGCAAGACCATAAAGTCCAATCACACCTGAGGGAGGCTCTATGAACTTTCGGAACACGGTCTAACAGATGCTAATGCCCTGTAGGAGGGCACTACTAACATCCCAAATGGTGGCCTGCTCCGTGAGACAACACCTTAGAAGTAAGTGAAGACATCGGCGGACCAATAGATCTGTGCAGTGTCGCCTCAGCCAAAAACCGTACGTACATACAGGCGTTAGTGCGGCCGCCACAACTACTTAGTTTTCAGGTACTAAAGTCTGCTGTCAGCCCGACCATCATGTGAAGGCTCCGTCCAAACTATAAATCAACTAGCTCAAGAGATATTGCGGACAGGATACTGTATTATTAGTGCCCTATTTCCAATCAATGTTATTTTTGGTAAGATTGTCGAAATAGCAATCTAACGCTGTATGTGAATCTCCGCTCAATGCAACCCCATCACTTTGAGTCGTGAACCAGTAACGTAACTCCCGGCCGCATCGGCCACCCAGTACACCGCTCAACACGCTACTGCATGTAATCGCTCTTTCTATCAAACGCAGTGAATTAAAAATGAGTAGTACAATGATTTTAGGGCGGTGTACTGGGTGGCCGATGCGGCCGGGAGTTACGTTACTGGTTCACGACTCAAAGTGATGGGGTTGCATTGAGCGGAACTACGATGAAAACTATAGTAGTCATTAGGTTCATTGCTCTAGTAGGTACCCGAGGGAACTAAACAATAACTTCTTACCTGTACTTGAACATCTAGCCTTAACCGGAAGTCCCTATAACCATAGCATGCAACCAATTATAAGAAGACACATAACCATCCCCATTGATATCCCAAAGTAGATCTTGCCAAAATGAGGTCATTTGGCGTCAGATTGGCCTTCAATCCATAATAAGTGAGCTTGCTAGGATGTCAAGTGAGCTATGTTTTGATATATTAGGCTATTTTCTTATGATCAGGAGGACAATCTCTCGCAGGTCGTAGCGCAGGTTACAATAGGTCTTACCCCGCATCCTCGGGCGGCACATAATACTGCATTACTTGACGCAGGAGGCGTATAGGATCATTCGGAACTATAGTGCGTATCACCTGATGGTGGCGTGTTTTATTCTGCATGCATATAGTGGATGTCTTACCTGCACTGTGATACGATGCATAGATAACGATGTACCAACACAGTACATGTGAACCTGAATACCTTAGATGGCAGTTGGTATGGTTGTGGCCCACCATACAGATAAGAAAGTACGGGATATTTCTCCGTGGAACTTATGATGTTCTGTTAGTGTAGTAGCTTGCCTATCAGAAATTCATCCTAGCAGCAGGCTCGTAGCATGGCCGAGACCCGCATGCAGCAGGTTTGAGTTGTCAGTTACCTTGTTACTACAACAGCGGAGAATGTGATCAGGCCTTTTACATGACCTTCCCAAGTTGGTATAGTATGGCTACAGTCATTAGCGGCTATAAGTCCGGGATCTTCTCACCTTGCTGGTAAATAGGGCCGTGCAATAGTCAAAGGCCCTATTCTATCAATAGACTGCCTCCTCTTCAATTACATGATTTCTATTTACTTACCACACGACTTATACTACTTTATAGTCAAAATGAGTGGTTCTTTGGCATGTCTCTCTACTGTCTACGTTGGGGATCGAACTCATACATACTTTATAGACAGCACTGGAGCTCTGGCGGTTTTCCGAGGTACTCCAGTGATAACTGATAATGAAGAGGGTCCCATTCGGATTATAGTGAAGAAAAAGTACATCAAACCAGACCCCGGGACACAAATTGCTTCTATCTCTTTCCCAAGCCCTACGGTTCCAGACTATATTGAGGTATGTTCTATGTGAGCTCAGGGATAAGAATACAAGGCTAATTGTGTAATAAGGTCAGAGTATATTACATCAAAGAAGGTTACCTGCATGAAGTCTCCTGTGATTGTAGCAAAACCCTGAGTAAGTGGTCCGACACAGGGACAATGTCTACCCAACACAGACCAATGCAAGGAACTGGGATCGCCGCGAGATATGTACGGTCAAATGGGAACAAAGTGGTATATTACCGCGAACGCGAAGGGGATACTGGCTTACGAGTTTTGTACCAACACGTTAACGGTAGAACACCTTGGCAACTCAAGTATCTTACCCCTAATTAATTGTGTGGATTTATTATTTTCTCTATCCTACAATAATACTCATGGACCTCGAAAAATATGCACAAACCTGATCAATAACATGATAGCAAAGAAGAGAAAAGAAAAGCCTGGACCCCGATCTCCTCAGTCAGCAATTCGTCCTCAAACAGATGTAGTCGCATCGCACATCCACCATATCAACGGTGATCCTCGTAACGTCGCCATTTGAGGCCTATCCGCTGGCGGAGGATCCGTAGTCCCCCAAGTCCTCGCCAACGGCCGCCATGGGAACCCAAAGCTCTTCTCCAAAGCGCTCGCCAGCTCGCCCTTCTGGCCCAAAAACCTACCACTACGACGGCCCTGATCCCGAAGCCAACTACTCCCAGCTCCTTAATCTCACCGGATGCGCCACCGCCTCGGACTCTCTACGGATATAGGCGGCATTTGATGGGGCACGGCAGACAAATCAAAAGGTGAAACTGTGATGCCAACAAGCATAGACCCGTATTTGAAAGGTACCAGGAAACACTATTTACCGCTTTTGATAGTCATATTGTGACAAGCCAAGAAACGATGATAACTAAGAAAGCCAGAGAAAATCTGGCTTAGAACACATAACGAGTTCAATGATCTTGATTCAACTGATAATAGTAATAATGATAATAATACTAATACTAATACCGAGAAGACTAGATAGATATTTCTAGGAAAATTATATAACATATGAATAGATATCTTGCAGCAGTAGAAAATTAATGAAAGCTGAAATGTACCAAGCAAAACGAAATATTAAAACGGGGTGTCATGAAGTCCCGACCAGTATCCAACAGAGTAATATGATCTGCGAAGAGTGACCTACATGGCCTGGCAGCAGCTAATTTTGCACTTCAGCGCACATACACGGCTGTGCTTGCTGCACCGCCGGTTCCATTATGGAAGCATGGCATAGAATTGATATGACTATCCCAGAAAGCTAGGCTTCCCGACGACATGGGTAGTCCTAGATCTCCGGCTATTGGTGAATGATACATGTCCGTTAATGAGCGTGGACCCATCCCGACTGTGGTCAGTCAGTCATGGGGCATGTTTTTCATGCTGCAGTTCTGTTAGTCAGTGATGTGTCTTTATATTTGACTTTGGTGAATGCAGCAGTGTGTCCAGAAGAAGTGTAGGCAGCTCGTCAGCTACTGGAACAGTCGACATCTCATGTGAAGGGCGTTCCTTGGGTGTTACGGACTTTGCGGGTGACTCTGCAGGGACGGTGCTCGCTACCGGAGGCAGAGGAAAATACTGCATCGCCTGCAGAGGGCCAACTGGAGTCAGCTCTGGGCCAAATCGTCAATGCAGCCGCAATCGGACTTGCAATAGTGGACGTCACTTCTAATTGATATTGATGAGACACAAGGTGAGCCGTCCATAGAACCGTAAGGCACGAAGGCTTGTCTATACTGTCAATGTAGCTTCTAGGAGCAGTCATTGGGTCGATATGATGAATCGGCGAACATGCAAAGCGCTTACGAGCTGACGAACGCCGATGAACTCGGACTTCTCGCCCATCTGGTGCTATAGCATGATCAGATATAGATTCCTTCTGTTCCTCTTTCTGCTTCCCTGTTTTGTTCTAAAACCCACAGCCCGGAGGAACAGGCACTAATAGGGTTCTCGACAATGATTCGGGATACGAGAACCCCCTACAGTGAATAACAACTGTCGGTCAGCCAGCACACTATGGGCTAATGGCTTCAGATATATTTATCTACGTCGGAGAGGACGGGAATATTCGGCGGGGATGGATTGATATCTTGCATCAGATTGCACCCTCCAAGAAAACCAGCCGTCAAATGCCGCTCTCCTGCTTGAAGTATTTTAGACGCTTCTATGGCCGAGCCAAGAAACATACTGAATCATCAAAGATATTCAAGCCGCTACCTACACGAAGACCTGGGAGGAATAATGCCAGCGACGGCTACGAATGAAACCTTCCACTGCATCATAGGCCGGACCATCATTCTCGCTTTTCTCCACCCACAGCTCGTATTCCCAACACCATTCAGTACCAGAATGAGGTGAGTCCAATTGAAGGGTTCCTATATTATCTACCTTGAAATTAAATATCGGGGAGCCGGTCGGCGACCAGGGCAAACAATCGGCGACCGAGACGGGCCGAGCGTGATGACTAAGTCGGCGAGCAGTGATCACGCCATCGTACTTAAACAGTGGAGCCCCGAAAACTTTGGGGAATAAAGACTACTTTGTACTAGTGGCGTGGGCTATAGACTCTAGGAACGCGGGTCTCGTCCAGCTCGTGGTCCTTTCCCCAAATTTCTTTGCAAAGCTTCAATTTCTTTCCTGTGCATACAGTGTATATTACATCCCTTCATTGAACCCAATCAATCACACGCTAAAGATATACACACCAAAAATCATGTTCTGCCGCAACGTCACGTCGGCAGCATCCACGGCTGGCCGTGCAGCACAACGGACTTTCGCAACCGCCGCACCTGTGAGCCCCGTGGCACGCAGCCACAAGGTGGTTGTCGTCGGCGGAGGCACGGCCGGTCTGGCCATCAGCCATCAATTGATTCGGTCGGGCAAGTTCTCCCAAGATGACATTGCCGTCATCGATCCCTCCATGTGGCATCACTACCAGCCCGGCTGGACCCTCGTCGGTGGTGGTGTCAAGACCAAGGAGGATCTGCGCCGCCCAATGCACGATCTGATCGACCCCAAGTTCAAGTTCTACAACCAGAGCGTGGGCACCTTCCTGCCGGAGAACAACTCCATCACCCTGGGCAATGGCGACAAAGTCAACTACGAACACCTGGTCGTCGCCCCCGGCATCAACATCAACTACGGCAGCGTCAAGGGTCTGCCCGAGGCTCTCGCCAACCCGGACTCCCTAGTCTCCTCTATCTACGGCTACGACACCTGCGACAAGGTCTTCTCCACCATTCAAAAGCTGCAGAAGGGCAACGCCATCTTCACCCAACCCGCCGGTGTCATCAAGTGTGCCGGTGCCCCGCAGAAGATCCTCTGGATGGCCCTGGACTACTGGAAGCGCGCTGGTCTATACAACCCCAGTAACCCCGCCAGCTCGCCCATCAACATCAGCTTCGCCACCGGCATGCCCTCCATGTTCGCCGTCGCCAAGTACGGCGCTGCGCTCGAGGCGCTGCGCAAGGAGCGCGGCGTTGAAGGTCTCTTCCAGCACGATCTGGTCGCCATCGACGGCAACAAGGCCACTTTCGCCCTCCCCGATGGCCAGGAGCAGGTGACGAGACAGTTCGATCTCCTGCATGTCGTGCCTAAGATGGGTCCTCACGCGTTTGTCAAGGATAGTGCTTTGGCCAACGAGGCCGGCTATGTCGATGTGGACGCCGGCACTACCCGCCACACCAAGTACGCTAACGTCTGGTCCGCCGGTGATGCCTCCAGCTTGCCCACCTCTAAGACCGCGGCCGCTATTACATCCGAGGCCCCCGTCCTCGTGCACAACCTGCTGCGCTCTATGGAGGGTAAGCCAACTGATGCGGTTTATGATGGATATGCCTCTTGCCCGTTGGTTACGGAGTATGGAAAGGTCTTGCTTGCCGAGTTCAAGTATGGTGGTGAGCCTAAGGAGACTTTCGGTAACTGGTTCGGTATTGATCAGGCTGTTCCTCGTCGCTCGTTTTACCATCTCAAGAAGCATTTCTTCCCTTGGGTGTACTACCAGTCCTTGGTTAAGGGTACTTGGGCGGGACCTAAGGGATGGACGAACTAGGGTAGATGGAGGAGTTTAGATCTTATCATGTATAATACTAGTTAGCGTTATCATTAAATATTAGCGACGTGGGATTGTTAATTAGCGTGTTTTATACCGTAGAGGTGGCTCTGGATTCGGGAGTACTTGGTAGGTCATCATAAATATACTAGTACTCGGTAGATGTCATTGAAGGTAGTTGCTCTCTGAAGGATATCTCCAGGGTGTCACCCTTGAACTCTTGTTATATTTTCATCTAGGATGTAGTGACAATGGTTCCTTCTATAATACACGAGTATATACTATTTATATCTTCGCCGATCTAACAGGTGCAAAATTCGACCCCAACCCCTCACCAATACTCTCAACAATACTATCCACACTGCGTATAATCCAAGTATTCCCCTCATCACTAGCCAACCACTTCGCCCCCTCTTCATCCTCCACATCAGCCACCCACGTCCCATCCTCAACCGCCTTCCTCAGTCCAAACACATGTGACGTCACCTGCGGACCAACCCCCGTCTGCGCTCTCAAACAAGCGATCGCAACAACCGACGTGGCCAATCTGCCCACACTCGCCCCAGTAGTCCGCTTGGGATCAGACAACAACGCCCCATAATTAGCGTTCAGAATATGAACGGGTAAGTCCGGGTGCGAGTCCGCCAGCTTATTGTAGAGCTTCTTCTCGAAGGGTCGGTAGATGGAGTCCCAGAGATTCTGGCCCCTCGTACATATTTCCTGGATATTCTCGGGGTTGGGTGTGCGGGTGGGTGTTTGTGATAGTTGTGAACTGATGGATTCAGGGAGACTGGCTTTGAAAGCGTTGAGGCAGTTGATGGTCCGCGGGATGCCGTTGAAGCTGATGCATTTCAGGCCGACTTCGCGCATGAATTCTGCTGTTGCTAGGCTCTCTTTGGCCGATTGGGAGGTGCTGGCGAGTTGGTACAGCTCTGTGAGGGATTCGGGGGAGTTCATTGTCATCGTGGTGGCTGTCTATTGGTGGTAGAGGAGAGGTTAGCCACTGCTGCTGCTGCTGATGCGAGTTAAGGGGGGGATTGGGAAGAGAAACTGACCGATAGAGCTAGCCATGATGATTGGGATAGGTTCTGGGACTGCGCGCCTTGTTGGATCTTCCTGTATATAGATTGGATGTTTGACGGTGCGGGGACTGTGTTGGGGCGCGCTGCCGGAGCGTTGATTAGCGCCTTGAGTTGATGGGATAGTTTGGACATTCTCTTTCTTTTGCGACTGCCACCTGAAACGTTCATCGGGGTTGGGGGAGTTGAGAATAGAGGAGGTGCAGGCGGGACGGAGTGCATATGCAGGCCGATGCGCGCTTCCCTTGTCTTATCTACTGCCTCGGCTTCCAGAACTGGCCCCGAGCACTGCCGACAAGCCCCGCTTGGGATTATGATTGGCCAGCTGATGGTAAGGTGGTCGGAGCGGGTCAATGCCTCTTCCGGGGGGCCGCTAGGCCTGAAAGAGATATAGAGTAGCCATGCCAGTTGTTGGATGGAGAAATGATCAAGAGGATGGTTAGATAGTACTATTCATGTAGTAATACGAAAACAATCATGATTCGTACTAAGCATTACTGATGTCATAAGAACAATTCTAGTCTCATCGTATCTGTATATACTCTATACATCTGAACATAACCTATAAGAGTTTAGTGTACACCTTATCTAGTCTACCGCAACGTAACCAATTCCTCAGCGCTGGTAGGATGAATAGCCACACAGCTGTCAAAGTCCTTCTTGGTAGCGCCCATCTTCACAGCGACGCCAAATCCTTGGAGCATCTCGCCCACTCCCAGACCCAGGATGTGCAAGCCAACAACCTTCTCCTCCGGACCGGCGCAGACCAGCTTGAACTCGGTCGGGTTCTTCTTCTTCTCCTCGGCCGGCATCACGTCGTAGTACATGGCCGTGAACCGAGTGTGGTAAACCTTGATCTGGTCATCGCCGTAGCGCTCACGGGCTTCGGGCTCGGTGAGACCCACGGTACCAACCTCGGGGTGAGAGAAGACCACCGTGGGGATGTTGTCATAGGAAAGCTTGGAGTCACGGACTTCGTCGGGGCCGAAGAGACGGTTGCCGAGTTGGCGACCGGCGGCAATAGCAACTAGATTGGTATTAGTTTGGCCATAATACGAGAAGGGAGAGCAGGAACAGTATGGAGGGGGAAACATACCAGGAGTCAATTCGGCGTGACCAGTCACATCACCCAGAGCATAGACGCCGTCGACACTGGTGTTCTGGTATTCATCGACTTCGATATGGCCGGACTTGTTCAGCTTAACGCCGGGGACATCGAGGTTCAAGTCCTCAACCTCGGGCAAGCGACCCACGGCCCAGAGGAGCTCGTTGACCTCCATTTCCGAACCGTCGTTGGAGATAAGCTTGAGCAGCTTGTCCTTGCCCTTACCATCGCGGATGAGCTGCACCTCCTTGAGACCAGGGTGCTTCTTGTGGATGTGGATGCCAGAGGCCTCGTAGCGCTCCGTCATAGTGTTCTGGATCATGGGGTCGAACTTGCGCAGGAACGTCTCGCCACGGATGAACATGTGCGTCTCACATCCAACAGCGCCCATGACACCGGCCAACTCCACCGCAATGTAGCCCGCACCGACAACGGCAATCTTGGGAGGCAATTCCTCGATCTCGAAGAAGCCATCGCTGGTGATACCGTGCTCGGCGCCCTTGATGTCCGGGATGCTGGGCCGTCCACCGACCGCAATCAGAATGTGAGGGGCCGAGTACCGTGCCTTGGAGCCGTCCTCGAGCGTCACCTCGATGGTCTTGGGCTCGACGAAACCGGCGCGGCCGTGAACAAGATCAATGCCCTCGCGGCCCCAGTTGCGCTCGTAGATTCCGTTCAACCGCTTGATAGTGGAGTCGCGGATTTCCTTGAAGTGGCGGTAGTTCTTGTCGACATTCTCGGAGACGTCGTAGCCGTAGTGCTTGGCGACGTGGAGAGTCTCGTTGATGGAGGCGAAGTTCCAGGTCATTTTCTTGGGGACACAGCTGCACGGACAACACTGCGTTAACGACCAAATTGTCTCATATAGTAGGGGGAAAGGAAGGAAGGAAGAAAGAACGCATCTTACCCGACATTGACACAGGTACCTCCGGAGCGACCACTTTCCACGATCAAGGTCTTTGCGCCATACCAGCCGGCAGCTCTGCGTCCGCTACCGCTACCACCGCTACCACCACCGATGACAATGTAGTCATATTGCTTAACCTCAGTGGGGGCCATGTTGTTTGCGTCAGCAGCCGAGGAGGAGGATGAGAAATGTCTAGTGAGAGTAGAGAGACGGGATGCGACCGAAGAGGAGGAGCGGAGAGCCAGAGTGCTTTGTCGGGGAAGAATGGTCGACGGGGTGGCTGTAGCAATTCCTTTACCCTGGAGCAAAGGTGTCGCAACGATGGGAGATGAGCGGGCGCGGATGGTAGAAGTTGGGGAGAGAAGAAGCCGGTTCTTAAGAGCCTGGGCGGGACGATGACGGAGAGAGGGGCAGGAGAGCATGGAGTGCTGATGTGAGGGGAGAACAACAGCCACTGGCAGACAAGGGAACTTAAAGGTCGGAGGGACGGGGCGGAGGGGCTCTCAAGAAAAAAAGCTGAGGGAGAGGAAGACGGATTGATGATTAGCTGGCCGGGGAATGGCGTCAATGACGGAAGCCCGCAATTAGTCAGTCAATCACCTTCTTGAACTAATTCAACAATCAACCAATAACTATTTATTAACTCTGAATAACGACGCAACTATTTAGACTATGAGCGATATGTTGATCGGGAAATAATACTACCCGGAATAAGCAACTATTGGATCATCCACGCCGATTCTGACGCAATGGGCGAGTTGTAGGAATTACTACTTACTCTGTATATTCCCCGACTCTCGGGATGCACGTGACAGAAACGCCGGGGAAGTGATTGATAAGCAGCCAGTCAGTCTAGACTTATAGCAGAACTCGTGGGAGAAGCATCTAGTGAATTATATTATCAATCTAGTCGGGTTTCAGAGCCAGGATTTTATAGCTACTATCTTTAATGGGGCAGTGACTCGATTTGACATGATCCTTTGCAGTGCTCTCATTTTTCCTTCCATATCATCATAACCTAGTAGTAGTAATTTCACAAAGGATCAATCATAATCATAATTCGGCCCGCCTTCCACATGGAAGATAGCAAGACGGGTCACCGTAAAGCTTGTTTCACGTTCCTGCTGATCCCCATTCATGGCATCACATCCGTCATGCTTCCTAGTAGAAGTTGCCTCTTCATACAGTCCTGATACCCGATTTCTGGCCGGATTATTGCCCCGGAAAAAGGTAGCGTGACTTGTCGCAGGGTCAATCTTCACTCCAACCCTCGATTGAGTGAGTTCCCCCATGCAATTATGAGAGTCCGTCTTTTCTGTGTCACTTTCATTTACGGGCAGTAAAGCCCTGATGCGCTTTCCACCCAAGTGAAAGAGGTCGAGGCTTGGCTGAAGCTGGAAGAGAAGTCGCGGAAGGGCGATACTCTCCCTTTCCTCGTTTGCAGCAGGCGACTGCGTATCGCCAGAGAAGAATGCCCCCACAACTACTCTCGTTGAGTCCTGGCCTTGGTGTCCCAAGAGAAGAACAAGATGCGACCGATGCTTCGGATCGTCATGACGAATATGCTGTAGAACATGGCCCAGATCAAACCTGTCCGTCGAGTCATGACATTTGGAAAAGACGATCGGTTTAGTCTTTCGATGCAAATCGGTTCTTTGATGGAGCTCGGACGGTGGGACAAACAATGAGACTGCACGAAGGATTCCATTCCAAGTGGAGTCTGGGGATAATGCCGTCTCTAAAGTTGGCAACTCGGTGGACGGGGAAGGTTGGAAAAGTGTTGCCCAAAGCTGATGGAACCATTGCTCTAGATTTGGCTAATGTACGTGACATTGTTAGTCAATCTTGTAAGAGTAGTAGACAGATAGCAAATAAGATCATTATTACCAAGATTTCTAGAGCCCTGAGAACTAAGTCGGGGGACAGGGACTCGTCCTGGTCATGGCTGAATGATTGGGCCAGGACGTTAGCCAGTTCTTCCTTCTCTGGGCTAGGCTCTTCCAAGGAACCGTAGTGAAAGCCGCGGCCCCAAGTCGTTTTGTAGACTCTTAGTCTCATGATCAGGCAGATTATATGAGCCAAGTCTTTGACCTTCATCTGAAACTGGACGGTCCTCCCTTCGAGTAAGCGTTCCGCCAGCGGCGTCAGCTTCTCGGGGGTTGCAGACAATTTGGGATGGGAAGGACATATTGTAAGCATAGCATCGATGGCATCTTCGGTAACGAGGGTGTCGAAATTAGTGACGTGTGGATGTGAAGTTAGATGAGGACTACCAATGCTGATGCTTCGAAAGATCCGATTAATCCTAACTTTGCAGTTACATTTTTCCCGAAAAGGCCCCCAGCGACGACCGAAGCCGTCGTCTTCAATCCCGAGAAGCTCCGTGCCTTGAAGAGATAATAGGATCAGCGCACGCTCAAAGGCTGGCAGCTCTAGCTTTCTGTCGTCTGCTCCGATGAGTGGGAACGGGTGATAGGCGTAGAAGCAGAAGCAAGACCAGAGAACATCAATAGCTGTCTCTGGGATGGTGGTATCCGGATGATTCCTAGCAAGGCAACTTTGAAAGCTCTTTTTCGTCCAATCTGGAATAACATCCAAGTGTCTTCTTAGCTAGTGTCCAGTATGGAATATCCAATTCGCTCACTGGGGTGGACTCTCGTGTGGGTAAGAGTACGTACAAGGCTGCTCCTGGGACGAGTCTTGAATGCTATGTGTGTAGAAGATGGCCCGTGGTGTCAATGTGGTGCTTTCTTTTTGGAGTAGACAGGTATGTAGATGTGAAAGCACAGAGTCTGAACAATTCTAGTCAGCACCATTCTTTCAGCCCTCGAGAGTACCAGCCATTTACCGACTAACCCGGTGTGGTAGTGCGAAGGAATTGATCAAGCCTCTTCTTCTGATCTCTGAAGAGTATGTTGAAGGCTACCCTATCCAAGACGGCCATCATGACTGTTGTTCTGAATTTCCCTCAGGGGAAGAGGAAGCGGTTTATCCCAGGATTCTTTCTTCATACAACAAATCCGGATTTATGGATCTCCCTGCGGATATTGATTAATCGATGGGGCCAATGCGACATGGGGGCTACGGCTAAGGCGGCTGAGGCGGAGGAGTCAGCAGCTACAAATTAGATAGGTTAGTACCCAAGAGCCTCTCCACTGCGAAGGCTATTAGAGGAATTGGTGCCTATTCATTCCACTTACTGTCTACAGACCACTCATAATGTCTTATTTGCCGGCTAACCGGCTCAGCCTTGTTACTAGTAATGCACCTAGCTGGGATTCCGAGGGACGCTACCTCGCCTTAGCACCTTCTTAGTTCATTGCGGCTACTTCATGTCGCAAGGCGCAACGGACAGGGTTGGCCTGATATTGTATAGGAACAACCCTCGATGGATACTACTTTCGAGTAGTAAAAAGGACGATGATAAGACCTTCTACTGTTTCTAAGTACAACTTTAGATCGACTTGTCGGAGGTTCTCATTCATATGCTTCGATTATTGACAGGACATCAAAGAGCTTACCACAAAACTTTCCTCACGTCATCTTGGAAGGATCACAGAACCGCTGGGCTGTGCAGGCATACCAAGTAACGGTTGTTGAATATTACCGATTTGAGGAAATGATGAACGCAGTATCTTGAACCGCTAGGCGATCCTAATAGGGGCCAAAATTATCGGAATCCTGCGGATCATCCTTAATCCCTATGCAATAAAGGGAAACCCTGCGATCCTGTAACATGCCTGCTATCTAGTCTCACTATCTAATTCTAACGTAATCTGGTTCTGCATTGGGAATGATGATAGTCTACATGTACTCCTAGTCACGGTCAACGAAGTAATCAACAGCTTCAATTCCTGTGACCTCCAAGAAATATAGTAATGACACCAAAAGGATTCATAATGGAACAAGCGATATTTCAGAACTAAAGTGGACCTTGAAGCTGCCCGCCCCCAATGCTCGGTGGGACCTCGCCGCCTTAGACGCCTGTAGGGCTCTTCAATCCAGATTAATTCTGTTGGTCCAGGGTCCAGGTACAGAATGCTAGTTGATCTGACCCGCCCGAAGCCGAAGACATGACTTTACAGCCCCTGGTATTCGTTCAATATGTCACTGGATACACCAATGTAGCATGATACTACTCTTCTAGCTACTGAAATCGCCCCAATCCTTTCACTGCATTGCCTCGATACATAGGAGAGCGGCCAATGTATATAATTCCAGGTTGTCTGTTCCTCTTCGTTGTTCATCCATCCGTTCATTCTACTGTATAACACTCATTTACTATCAGTTATTGCCCTCATACGCTCATTCTATAGACATTTCGTTCCTTTCTTATATTGTTATTATTCATAAATTTTTATATATCGTTGCCGTTGAACCATTCCATGACAAGATGCGCTTCAACCCTACCACCACACAGAAGGCCTTCGCTTTGGCTTCTTTGCTCCTGACGCCCGGTGCCTTATCAGCTGCTATACCGCCAAGCGATATCAACTCTGAGTTGACGACGCCCTCATTTGTTGCTGATGTTCCGACGAACACACACGTCCCTACAACTGGAGCGGATGGAAGCCTAACCTCCGACCCAAATGTAGGTGTGACCTGTCGGGTGAGTACCAATGCTTTCTTCTATTCTCTTCTTATTTTCTTTTTGTCGCTGTTTAGGTCTGACCAATCCAATTCCAGACCTGTAATAAGGACGGTACCCCGGAGAGTATCTGGGAAATTATTTCTGCTCCGCCGGATACTACTCCCAGGTCCGTTGACGGGGACCCTTCCCTGACCGAGCGAGACGACGATGCGGAATCGATCACTAGCCCTCACAGCTACCAGCCTTCCACCTCTGTTGACGAAGCCTCGTCCCTGACAGAGCGATCCAACGTGGAAGGGAATGACATTACTTCCGAACTTCGAGAGGAGGACACCCTAAGCGGACCTTCAGATGATGACGTTGCTCCATCCAAAACTACACGCCAGCCGTCGACAGAGGTGAAACGGGCTGCAAAAGTCACCGGGGATGCCAAATACAAGAAGCTTAAGGAAGCCCTCGGGAAAACACCGGAAGTTGGCCAGGGCTATGCCATCAAAATCAGTATGTACCAACGATTTCCCGTTCCCAACTTGCCACACTCTCATCCCAGGTGCATGGTGCAGTAAATCTGATTGAAAAATCTCTCTAGGGAGTGAACGAGCTCGAGTCGCCGGCAAGAAGGTCCCCGACCATTACCTTTTAGCTGCAGGCTATGTGACCGAGCAAAAAGAAGGCGGCGTCACCTATCTCAAGTTTTCCTCTGGATGCTGGGACATCCAGCTCGAGGGCAAGAAGATTGTGTTCACGGACCGTGGTGCTAGCAGCTGGTATGATTGGAGCGAGACTAAAATGGAGGTGCTCGGTAAGATTAGGTCGGGCGTGGACAATACGGAGATCGAGAGATATGGGGAACAGATTGCCGCCAAGATGAATAAGAAGGGTTATAACACCCTTTTTAACAATTGTCGGGATTTTGTGCTTAAACTGTATGCCGAAATCAAGGCTTGATTGGAGGTTTTGGTGCTTGGGCTAGGGTTTCGGCCGGTTATACTATGTTAAGAGGTGTTCTATTATGCATTCAAGGAGCACTCTTGTTGAGTGTGATAGCTAGTGGTATCAAAGGTCAGGTCGCTTTGGGGTTACTCCCAGAAGTACGAACTTTCCAGCATTCATCATATATAGCCGAAAATTAGTCCATTGTTGGACATAACTTAGAATTTTTGATTCGTTACTGACCTGCGTTATTCGATTGAAGTAGGCCAATTGAGTCAGGGGGAGCGTTGCTGCCCAGGTGATTGACATTGAGGCCGGTTGCTAACCAGTAATCCCTAGTAGTACATGGGGGCCACGCCAAGGGTGGCCAGATGAGGGACGGAGCATTAACAATCTTAGCTTTCAGCGCTTGGTAGTGCTTATTTATATACAAGGGTTCTGAATGGGGGCCAGGGAATGCCACACACTCAACCACACATGTCCACTGTTATCTATTTCCTGTTGGTGAAGCTGGTCTTTTGCTGGTAAATGATGACTAGGCCATACTTCAATTAGTATCAAATTCAATATTCTGGGTCATTCCACTACACTGATGTCTGCGCTAGTGATCGAGAAACTGAAAAAAAAAAAATGAAGAGACAGTTTTCATCTTCGAGTATTCACTCAATTAACCATCCGTAATCAATAGAGCCTAGTAAACACAGATATTCTCCACGTGCTAGAAAGTACTATGTCCACTTAACCTTGATCTTTTTACCACCTCCAACTTGGCCTTGCGCCAATTGCATCCAGCTCTGCCAACGGAGCTACTACCCTAAATGCTGTAAGATATAAAGTATCTCGCAGGCCCCGGCCCCATGACACTTTTCGAGAGCTTCTTTTTGTATCTTCTTGGCTTTTTCCTCCTCGGCCTTTTGCTCCTCGGGAGTAAGCTTTTTAGAATCAGTTCCTGAAACAGATTTTCAGATTTTGTTAGCTTCGCAACAGGATATACCCAGAATAGTTTGAGGGGTAGGGAGCAATGGTTGAACCAATACATACTTGCTGCGATAGTGTCGCTCTCTCGTTTCATCTGCTTTGCAGATTCGTCGGTGATCTGTTCATTGTATTCGTCTTCACGGCAAGACTGGAGATGATTGGGTTAGAATTCAGCAAGACCGAAGTTAACGGGGGTCATTAGCACTTACCTGACAGTCTGGAACACCTTCGTAAGGGATGGGGGCTGGACTGACATCCCCTTGACCGGCAGGGACTTGCGTGTTTGTTGGCGCCACAGAGACCGATGCCGGATCAGGAATGCTCGCGGGGATAGCAGCTGCTGAGACCCCAGATGCCAGGAGCAAGGAAGCTAAAACAAAGGCTTTTTGCACATTGAGACGTTTGAAAGACATTTTGGCAATAGATATGTTAATGACGACAAAGTAACGATTGACACTTGAAATAAGAAAGAGTAATGGGTAAACTTGTGCAGTAGTAAAGGAGAGTGAGAGTAATGAGAGCAACAGCGGACAAACGCGAGATTCTAAATGAATGATTGCCTGGTGATAGTAGCATTGAGGAGGGCATAACAAGGCTATATATAATTACCTTGACCTCCTATATAAAACTAGTAAGATATTTCATGTAGTAGTTCCAGCACAGTAGTATTGGGGCGGTTTCAGAAACTACCAGGGTATATAGCTGCGCCAACTACTTACCCCGGCATAGAAGGTACACATCGAGTATGAGCAGGACTTGGGGGCCAGCACGTTTCCTCCAGTATATGACATGAAGCCGATGTAATCCGTTCACTTCTTGTGATTTGGCCCCCGACTGTGCAAGCCTAGCACCCAGTACTGCGTTATTTTCTCTGGAACCGAAGTGCTGTTGCACTGAAGGGGCGGCGACTAAGTCAAGCGGACAGGGATTGTAGTGACAAGGCTGATCCAAATGCAGCCGACAGACCTAGTGAACCCTGAGCAAGAATCACCTCTCGAAACGCATCTTCAGTCCTTTCTACTTAGAGTGTGAAATGTTGCTGTCAACTACTTAGTTGACTGTAATAGTAAAGCGAACGGAAATATATACGAGGTTTATGGTGCCAGCTGAGACAGAGAAGCTCGGATAACTTTCTACCATGTAGGATGAGATACACAGTACTAGTGGGGAGCAGAAAGGCTGGGGCGAAAATAACTAGCGGCTTTCCATCCATCCACCCACTAGATATGTACGCTGTACGTACTTTGAGTCTAATTAGGATGAACTCCGTGCGTTGCTCAGCCTCTCTCACAAGACCCACCCTATGGACCCGACGGGTCGTCCCACCATCATGATACTAGACACAGCCAGCAATTCTCAGGAGATACACTCAAGCGAGGTAGTCTAGATCTAATATCTTTACGGTAGAGGCTGATTGGTGGCATTGTGGTGTCAAAAGCCGATCTCCTGGGGGGTCTTTCCAGACATCCGGGGTATGAGAGCGGAGCGGGAAGATCACTTAGCCGCCAAGCATCCGTAGCCAACCGTCAAACCAAGAAGTCGAGGTCTTTAGTTCACGATATAGCAGCATCGCAAAACCAATAGCGGGTAATCAGCTGCAAAGAGCCTACTGGTCTTATCAGGCAGAGTTAGCGCCTGGGAGCTATGATCTGTGAAGTGTGAACTACCCGAATTTGCCGTTCTCTCCGCATCATCCATTTTAACCGTTTGCAGCAGCCTCGGCTGTTCTTCGCAGCATTCAGTAACCATTACCAGCCATGAAGGAAGGACACTCGCACATATCTGCAGGTTCTAATTCTCTCAGGGACTCGTTTGGCTACTGGCTTCTGTCTAAATGAACGAAGGCAGTTAATCTAGTTCATTGTAAACCAGTTGTGAAGATACTCACAAGTGCTTCTTCGATGCCAGGGGGTAGTTAGGGTAATCACCTAATCTAGGCATTGGTAGTACACCTGTGGTGCAACTTCATTGATAATTGTAGAATCTTCTCCAAAGAGCCAAAGACGGTATATTCGACTATATTTTCTTCATAGAGGGACAACAGGTAATGCCTGCCAGTGCTCTTCTACAGATTTACATGATCGCATCTACACATCCTTCAAAAACTTGGCTCTTCATATAAAGACTATTTCTGCCGATTGTTCATAGTCTACTGAATGTCATAAAAATAGAATTTTGACAGAGCCATGTGCGACACATAGAAGTTCTATAGTTATTGATTATACAGCCTCGCCTCGTAAACTCGTTTTCTAGCAGTCTTATAAAAGAAGTCATGTTCCCCTGTTGACTTTTGCCGGAGCTCAATACTGTGAGTACGAGCCCTAGAAGCCGTTGAAGACACCGGGCAAGAATTCTTGCCTCAGTACGTATCTCCTGTGCCCTGAAATAGTAGTTTATAGTTGAACCATAGGAATCCAGAGCAATCCGGAGTTTGAGGGGCAGCCCCACCGATAAGGGCCGGGCGGTTATCGGCGGCGTCTCCGGTGAGAGACTCCATGACTCTCTCTCTCTCTCTGTGTCTGACTCTTACACATCTCCCCTCTTCCTCTTCCTCTCTTTCTCGCTCTTTCTCACTTCCTTTCTTCCACTCCCTCCTACTCCCCGTTCTTCTCTGTAGCTCCCCTGCATCCCCTCCCCTAGAATAAACTAACACCATCCCCGCCTCGCCAACATTACAGACCCCGCCATAAAAATGGCTGCCGCGGAGCTGAGTCAAGAGCAGCTGGACCAGATCTACGCCTTTGCGGTCGATCTGGGCCGGAAGGCCGGTCAACTCCTGATGGACAGTGTTGAGAAGCGCATCGGCGGCGGAGCCACGCAGGAAGCTGAGGAGAAGGACAGCGCCGTTGACATTGTCACCCAAACCGATGAAGGTATGCTCTAACCCGCCCTCAGCCTGCCATCGACTTGCATCTCACCAATGGACTGCCCTGCACAGAAGTAGAAGTATTCATTAAGAACGCAATCCAATCCAAATACCCCACACATAAGTATGTCCCTAAGCCACTCCCCAGTTCACAAGCAACCCCCAGCTGACCTATCCAGGTTCCTCGGCGAAGAGTCCTACGCCAAAGGACAGTCGCGCGACTACTTGATCGACGAGCACCCAACATGGTGCATTGATCCCCTAGATGGTAATAACCACAGCCATACTCTTTCCCTGCCATCATGACATGAAATAACACTCCTCACCTGACCAGGAACCGTCAACTTCACACATATTTTCCCCATGTTCTGCGTCTCCATAGGCTTCATCGTCAACCACCGTCCCATCATTGGCGTGATCTACGCTCCTTTCCAAGACCAGCTTTTCTCATCCTGCCTGAACCGCGGCGCATGGTTAAACGAAAAGCGCCGTCTCCCGCTCATCCGCAATCCGACCATCCCACCCATGCCGCCCAATGCTCCCAGCAAGTGCATTCTATCCTGCGAATGGGGCAAGGACCGTCGCGACATCCCCGACGGGAACCTGTATCGCAAGATTGAGAGTTTTGTGAACCTAGCAGCAGAAGTAGGTAGTCGCGGTGGCAAGGGAGGTATGGTGCACGGAGTGAGGAGTCTGGGTAGCGCTACGTTAGATCTGGCGTATACGGCTATGGGGTCATTTGATATCTGGTGGGAGGGTGGTTGTTGGGAGTGGTATGTTCCGTTTGCCACGAATCTTTTCATATTTGAGAGTTGTGTTTGGCTAATCCGAGTGTGGTGGGTAGGGACGTCGCAGCGGGTATCGCCATTCTGTTGGAGGCAGGCGGCCTGGTCACAACCGCCAATCCCCCGGAGGACCCGGACACTGCGCCCATTGAAGATGTTCGACTCGGCAGCCGACTCTACCTTGCTATTAGGTATGTCACACTCATTTTCTGCCTTGTGGCTTAGTACGGCATCTAACTGTAGTAGACCGGCTGGTCCGTCGGCGACGGAGACCGGACGCCAGACGCAGGAGCGCACTGTGCGGGAAGTGTGGAAGCGCGTGCGACAGCTGGAATATACCCGTCCGGGCGCGTGAGCACCTCGGCTATAGATATACACCGTTATATACTACTGATAGAATATCCATAATAGTTACTATACAGGACAGAAGCGACAAGGAAGGAAAGGGATGAAGACATCATATTGCACTATATACAGCAGCCAGATCCACGTATGTACCTAATCAAACACACGTCATATCTATCATCGGGCTCTCTTCACTGAGCCCAGTTCCGTTATTTTTGGTCTTCCATAACAAGCAATGCACCGGGTATGCGAGAGTCTATACAGGAATGAATCATCATGAAACATATCGGATGTTCAGAAGGAGGGCGAAAGGAAGAAAACTTTTACAGAGTAGCCTTCTGCCTCTCAGCCAAATTCTTGGCCACAAGCTCCTTGACCATATCCAACAAGCCAGGAACAGCCACCACATCCTTTCCAGTCCAAAGCTTGGCCTGCTCCAGACCCTGCCAGAGCAGCGCCTCGGAGCCAACGATAACCTTCCACCCGGCGGCATCAGCCAACTCGGCAATCTCGGTCCAGATAACAGGGTGGTAGCACATCTCCAGAATAACGCCCTTGGGCTTGCCATCCTCCTTGGCGCCCAACAACGCCGTCAGGACATTCCGGGCACGAATCTCCTCCTCGGTCTTAGGCGGGTAGTTGGGGATACCCGAGACAATAGCAGCGGGGGTCTCCAGGGTCTTCGCAACCTCGGGATCCGTAACGTGAATCAAGGGCGCCTTGTCCGCGGACGGATTACGCTGCTGATCCTCCTCCATGATGGCCTGAACCTCACTAGCATCACGGTTCACAATGTAGATCTTGCTGGCGCCGAGCCACTTGCGCATGACATAGATGGCGGAGCGAGCGGTACCACCACCACCGACAACGAGGGCAGGCTTGCCAGCGAACCGCTCGGCCGCGTTAGCGGTGTTCTGGACGAGGGCTTCGCGGATACCGATGCAGTCGGTGTTGGTACCGACGTAGGAGCGGGAGCCGTCGGCATTGTCGCGCAGGAAGATGGTGTTGCAGGCGCCGGCTTGGCGGGCGTCTTCGGTGAGGTCATCCAGGTGCGGCATGATGGAGACCTTCCAGGGCATGGTGACGGAGGAGCCGACGAATTTCGGGTTGGCGCGGATGGAGGACAGGAAGGTGTCGATGGGCGGGGAGCGTGTGTACGGGGGAGGGTAGGTAGCGGAAGTGCCGCAGACGCTGGAGAGGGGGATCTGAATCCAGTTCAGCCCGAGGTGGTTGTAGATGGCGGCATGGAGGGGAGGAGAGAGCGAGTTGAGGAGGGGGTGACCGTAGAGGTAGGCGACGCCATCGCGGTCCTGGGGGATGGTGATGGGTTCTTCAGGTTGGGTGTTGTTGGAGGATGCCATGTTGGGCGGATTTGTATAGTTAGCGATTTGTGGAGGATCGCAAGGAACTGTTGTTTTTGTTTTCGGAGAGGAAGAATTGGAGGGAGGGAGGGGGGAAATTGAAATGGGGAAAGAGAGGGAGAAGTGGGAAATTCAAGGGAATGTTTTAAGGGCCCCGCGGGCCACCGATGGCGGAGAAACGTTCGACGAGCGATGGAAGCGGCAGGGTGAACCCTTTCCCGCGCTGAACTTTAGCCGGCCAAGTCCTTTCCCCAGCCTACTAAATCTCGTAGTTCAATCTCCCCCGGAATCCCCCCGAACTCAAAATCACGCGCATGACATTGAACCCATCACCAATGAGGTGCTGATCGGCTAAGTCCACTCCGTATTACTGCTGAGAATGCTCCGATGCTGCGGAACAATTGGATTTGTGTGCCCCTGGTTGGAAACTCAGCACCCCGCACTTGTAACGCTTGGACTTTTTGGTTCAATATCCCGGGGTTTGACTACTGACTTTGCCCATTCATACTGCTTCTATTACGGAATTTGAGTTCACGACCATGCACAAGCGCAACGTCAACACCGACTGCAAAGCATGAGCAAGGAAGTGATGCTGAGAGTGGACTTTTAGAGATCGCAGTTCTTCCACCAGCATGATAACTAACAAGAACCCTCTTGGAAATAATCAACAACAATGCCAATGGTGCATACACACACAGAGCACTGCAGAGTTGAGGAGATCAAACTCTCCACTCAACCTAGGGACCCACAGGTTTCATTCGTGACAAGAACTCCTTGGCACATGTTCCGCCGGTAAAGGGTTCATTTGCTTCTGCCCCGGGTATTCATCGCACGGGGTGTTCATATCCGGATTTTCTAGGAGTCTATCGAATTCTCCCCGTAGTTATAACATTGCGTACTTTGGGCAGGTTTGTAAGAGTTAAAATCCAGTTGGCAGCTATATCATGGACAACTGGTGGGTTACTGCACTTTGAGGCCGACAGTATCCGTGTCTACCTACTTAGTATGGAGGTAGAAGCAACTATGAAGCAGTACTACTGGTATGCCAGATTTGAGCTCTCCAGGGTGATGGCTTTCGAGGGATGCAACCTGCTGCCAGCTGGGAGTTGATGGATATGATAAAGTCACGTGATTAGTATGCGGTTATCGAACCGGCGATAAACGCGCCGACGATTTTCCCGCCTGATAACGCCACCCTTGCGATAGTCACCGTCTACCAGTTCGATTGTCAAGCTCGTCCTCTCCCAGTCACTCTTTCCAAGAAGAAATGGTGGCAGAGGAGCAATCAGCTCCCCCGCCCGAGGCGGCGATGGGCACCCCCGGTGGTCCGAAGCGGACTCCGCTGACTCCAGAGCAATTGCGGAGAATAGTACATACTATGATCACGGTTCCTCTAGTTCGGAGCTAACACGATACTGAAATTAGGAAAGCAACCGCCAGAAGGCCATAGCAATACGGGAGCAACGCGAAGCAGAACAGGCTCGGGCTGATCCTTCATCTACCAAAGGTGTCAAGCGAACCTACTCCTCCATGACTGCCTCCGATCCCCCGGCGACTCTGCGCGATGCGGCCTCTACAGATAATCGTCCACTAGATGGCATCAAGCCGGCGCGCAACTTTACCAAGTTCGTTGAATACGACTTCTCTAAGATTACCGACACGAAGGGTGGGTTCTTAACTGAAGAAGATGACCGGTTCAACAAAGCCCTTCACGTTCGGGATGAGAAGGCGGAGCAGAAGCCAGCGCACATGACGCAGAGGGAATGGGAGCGACAACAGCTGCTGAAGAACCTCCATCGAGATCGTGCGGGAATTTTTGAACCAGGGCTGAGTGTGTTGGATGAGCGGACGCAACAGAAATCATGTCGAGAATGTGGCAGCTTAGAAATCGACTGGAAATGGGAGGAAGCTTTCCGATGCTGTGTCTGCCATGCTTGCAAGGATAAATTTCCGGACAAATACAGTCTGCTTACCAAGACCGAGGCACGAGAGGACTATCTCTTGACCAATCGTGAGTATCCCCCCTGCACAGGTTTGTGACAGGTGTTGCCACTGAGCGTTTTTGCTGATTACGGGACAAAATTACAGCCGAGCTCCAAGATGAGGAGCTCCTCCCACATCTTGAGCGCCCGAATCCGCATAAATCAACGTGGAATAATATGATGCTGTATCTACGGTACCAGGTCGAAGAATACGCCTTTTCCGCCAAAAAATGGGGTTCGCCGGAAGCATTGGACGCGGAATTCGAGCGACGCGAGAATGAGAAGAAGCGCCGGCGGGAGGTCAAGTTTAAGAGCAAACTTGAAGACCTCAAGAAACGTACACGAGTCGACGCATACCGACGAAGCCGTCAAGGAGCAGCGGGTGGTAATTTTGGCGATGACTTGGGGGGTGGTGGACGACATGTACATCAGTGGGGTAGATCGGTTGAAGATCCCAAGACGGGGATTGGGGTCAAGAAATGTGTTGACTGCGGGATGGAAGTCGAAGAACTCGAATTTTAAAGCAACAATGAACATATTAATGTACATGGTACCGTCGCCCTGCTCCAATCTGAGTGTTGCACCTCCACTCGGTCGCCGATTACTGCCTCAGGTATTGATTGAAAAACGCCAAGCGGCGTGGCTCCGCGTACTCTTACCGGACAGACCCTCCGTAATCTACTCCTTCAATAGCCCTTGGTATCACCGATAATCTTGGCACTTGGAAAAAGAGTAGGAGAAAAAGAACCAAGTATCATGCCAAGGATGCTGAGTGAGAGTCACAAAGATCATCCCGAGTCAATGCCGCTTCGGCCGGGACTATACCATATCCAGCCGACCCGGGGATCCACCAAGGTCCCTCTACCTTCCCATCCAGGCAAAGAAGGGCTGTTACCTACATGCGGAGACAAGCAAACAGAATGAATGGTTCGCAGTCTTCGGGGCTGCTTTCCCTCCCAGGCTGCTATGTCAGCGTTTCTTCTGCTTCTCTTTCCTCCTCTTTCTTTCTCCTCCCCTCCTCATCTTCCCCGACATACACGGACCCTTCTGCCCACTCTTCATTTGCCTTCATCCGATTTCATTATTGCATCATCTTTTCCTTGCTTCCTTCATTGACTATTACTGGGACTGCAAAGTGTTCATCTGTTTGTTGTATGTCATGATGGATGGATGGCATGAACAGTGCCCGGTGATTTCACGCTCGCTGGAATGAATGTGAAGCATTAATGGGAGATGGATTATTCACTAGATGACGATACATCGACGTCTGCTAACACTCGCTGGTCGCTGAAAAGCAAAAGAAACAACAGGTAGAATCGAATCGAGAATATACAACCATGACCCCGCCCCTAGACGTCGGTCTTGAACGATGTTAGGCGCGCCTTGAGTTCCGCCTCCGACTCATCAATGTCCAGCTCTCGAAGAACACCGCTGCCAACATCATATATCAACCCATGAACCTGAAGACCCCGATCCTGTACGGCTTCCAGGATGACATTCTTCTCCTTCAACAGCTTGACCCCCTCCAGAACGTTCAATTCCACCAGCTTAAGGTTGGCTTCGTCGGTCGGCAGCGAGTTCAGCAGATCCAGGTGTCTCGCGCGGAGCTGGCGCAAAGGCAGCAGCCAGGGATCAAGAATACCCAGTTGTTTGTTACCCAGTGCTGCAGCAACACCACCGCAGCTGGTGTGGCCGCAGAGGACTACGTGCTTGACCTGCAGGTAGCGGACAGCATACTCGATCACGGCCGAAGAGCTGAGGTCGCCGGCATGGATGACATTGGCGATATTGCGGTGAACAAAAACGTCGCCCGGTTTGAGACCAAGCAGGGTGGTTTCAGGGCATCGAGAATCAGAGCAGCCAATCCAGAGGATCTCCGGGTGCTGGCCGACCGCGAGTGTGGGGAAGAGCGAAGGGTCCTCCTTGGCAATCTGCGCTGCCCAATCCTTGTTCTGATGCAGAGCAGAGGTGAAGCGATCTGAAGAGGCAATATTAGCACACGCTGGTGGCTTGGTGGCTGAAAAGCAAGCGATTTGTCGATATGGGTTTGTGACTGGGTGGAAAAGAAGACGAGGGGTATGAGAGAGTCCGACTCCGCAGCCCTTATACAGTTGTCGCGGTCGCAAAGCAAGCCTTGTGGAATTCATCATGGGGTGAAAGGGTTATGGGGAACAAGAAGGAAGGGTTTGCTCAACCAGAAAACAGCAGAAACGCAGTCAACGGAGGATGAGTCACTCTGCCTGTGGTACAAAGGGACCGGCCTTGTGGAATCACGGAGCCAAATCCAACACGCAAAATCTGGCTTTGGAGGTGTGCATACGCTCAGTGAAACACTGATACAGGAACAAGGATGCAAGAATACAACACAATTTCACAGGGCTCATAAAGTTGGGCAGGGTGGGAAAATCGCGGGTCGCGGCCGCTTTGCGAATCTGTCCAGGAACGTGTCCAGGAACGCCAAGAAAGCATGGCTCTTGAGTTTATGCTCACGTACCTGTGCTAGTGGTCGACGCCATGATAACTATTCTGGAGAGAAATGAGGGTTTGCGATGCTATTGCAGTCGGATAGTTGGTTTTGGATGCTATGGAGTTCTCTGAGCTGGCAAAGGGGCACTCCTTTCCCTCTCCCCGCCGGAATCCGGGGGAGATTCTCCTGCCACTTCCAGGCCTGCAAACAGTGCAAACACCCACCACGTGAGGGTCTCACCGGAGCCCGAAAGTGCCGTCGGTCATGCTATTATCATGCGATCACAGATAAGCGTCGATTATTTGTCTGATCGCTGTTTCTCTATCTCTTCATCGGTTCCACTTCCATACAAGCCACGTCGGAAGTCCGAGGGACTCGCAAACGTCGCATGACGCCGCTCGCGTATCCCAAGGTTTGTCCAGCTAAGACCATCGATATGGCTCAGTACACAGGCATGCGCGGCTCGTCTGATTTCCTGATGTCTTCTGAACCACACAACTCGATCTGCTTCCCTCCGCCCGGTCTTGCTCGATTCGACTCAAACTGACCGCGGTCTGGTCTGGCAATCCCACAGCCTGCAAATACGGTATGCCTGTGTCATAAGCAGAACGCGGCTCCCAATTACGCTTCACTCTGCATTGCCATTCCTATCGCCTCTAATGTCATTCATTCTTGCAGCGGTGTCATCGCATCGATGACAGGAAAATTGGCTCTCATTCTGAAACTTGCGGTGAGTGGGCCCTTTTGAGGTATAGGATCCTCAGGACCTAAACCCCGCGGGGTGTGTAGAGCTGTAGACCCCCACGTAAGAGTCGGTCTCACCCTGAGACTCGCAAAGTAGCATATTCCACTACGCCTATTCGGGGTAGAGAGTTTAATACTGTCCTACTAACTTAACGTTCCTACAACATAACGACCGTGAATTGCCATTCCCTTGTTGTATTCATGAATAGCTTGAATAACAATCGATGCACTCCGCAACGAGCCACTTATACTGTCTTCTCGATATACTGGCTGAATATCTGGCCGATCTGTTTCGCACTATCCTTCGGAATCCTCTTCTGTCCATGCTCATAGTCAACGTAGGTCGACCCAAACCGGGTCTCGTAACCTTCAGCCCATTCGAAGTTACTAGTCCAGTCAGTAAGCGCCACATAACAACATCCAGGGGATAAGTATATCGCAGTACTCACTCCATCAAACTCCAAGCCATATAAGCCCGCACATTCACCCCATCCAGCGTATAGGCATCCGCCATAGCAGCAATATAATCACGGAAATACTGCGTCCGAAACTCATCCTTCAGCAGCTCCTCCACCGGCAAGTCATTCTCGCCCTTCAAGCTCGTCCCATTCTCCGTAACATAGATCTTAGGCCGACCGTACCGATCACTCAGCCATTTCAACAGCTTCCGGAATCCAAGTGCGTACGGTCTCAGCCACGCAGACTGTGTCTCGGGGCCAATGAACTCGCCTTTCTTGTTCTTGAGCAAAATCTCCAGATTCCCAGCGGTATCGTCGGGATCCGCTTCGCCGGTTTTGGCTTTGATGTAGTTGGCGCAGTAGTGATTCATGCCGTAGAAATCATTGCTGCCGTGAACGAGAGCGATATCTTCTGCAGTCCAGCTCGGGAGTCGGTCCCCGAGCTGCTTCACCATGCTGTCTGGATACTTTCCGTGATAAATGGGGTCTGCGAACCATGAGATGGCAAATTCGATTTTGCGGTCGCAGGCTTCGACGTCCGCTGGGTTCTCGGGGTCCCAGGGCTCGGCCCAATCTCCTATATATACAAGGTAAGCAGAAGTAATCGAGAAGAAGTGTCCATACATACCGTTAAGCGTAATCCCTATCTCCCCACCATCCCTCCTCTTAAACTCCTCACGATAAATCTTCACCGCAGCCCCATGAGCCACAAGGATATTATGTCCCACGATCCAGCACTCCCTCGAGCTATCCCCCTCGGCGCTCTTACTCCGATCACTCGTCCGACCCGGAGCAAATTGCCCGACATTATACCCGAGAACGCTACTACACCACGGCTCATTGAATGTAATCCAATGCTTGACTTTCGATCCCAGAGCCTGGAACATGACTCGAGCGTAGTGTGCGAAATCCGCTACGAATTCCTCCTTGTTCAGGAGTCCACCGTACCGCTTGTCGAGTTCATCGGGCAGATCCCAATGGAAGAGTGTCACCAGGGGGGTGATCCCCGCTGCTAGGAGATCGTCGACGAATTTGACGTAGTGTTGGATTCCCTTTTCGTTGATGGGGTCGTTGCGGCCTCCCTGGGGGATGATGCGCGACCTAAATGGATGGATAGGTGAGAACGGCGTTCGGGGTTGTGATTGGAAGGCACGTTTGTCATAATGGTATGTTGTCATACTAACCATGAGATTGAAAAGCGGTAGGCTTGAGCACCGCATTCTTTTAACAGTGCGATGTCTTCCGCTGTGCGGTGGTATGAGTCGCATGCTATGTCTCCGTTGGCGCCTCCGGCTATCTTGCCCGGGATCTTGCAGAACGTGTCCCAGATGGATGGGCCACGGCCGTCTTCGGTTACGGCGCCTTCGATTTGATAGCTGTGAAGGAGTGATTTAGTACTCTACTGGATGACTAGTTGGAGTGTAGTATGGGCTGAGTTGGGAGGGGTGGAAGGATACCTGGCAGTCGCGAACCCCCAGAGAAAATCCGGAGGCAAGGTTGAGGTTGTTGCTGAACCCATGTTTTGAATTTATTCGGCAAGTTGAAGAAGGGGGATGGTCTTCTAGCTTGAGAAAGAGATTGATGTCAGACAGCAGCGATGATGGCAGGTTTATGGGATGTTTATATAGATCATGTTGGATGTCCGCCAAGAAGGATGAATACGCGCTAAAGAGAGTGGGGAAAGCGGGGAGGGTAGTACGGACATCAAGGAAAGAAATTATTCGGATCCTTCTTGACTTCAGAAATACCAACTGATTGAGGGGGATGAAAGAGTAATCATACTAGTAAGTATGATGGAGGGAGAGAAGATGCTGGGGAGGATAACGGCTGGACGGGCCGACCTCCGAAGTGTAACAGGCATAGCGTGGTCTACTATATACACTATCAACTAGTAAGTACTACTAACACTACCATGATGGAACCACCGATGGTCGGATTGCCAAGATATCTCAATGCTGTGACTACGCCCAGGTCCCATTATTATTCCATGCATCATCCTCCCCTCCCCTTAAGAACGAGGTGTGGTTGTGCGTTGAATATGAATTTCCGCTAGGGCATGAGAGTTGATTGATGCCTCTGCCAGGTTTGAAGGCGGGACTGAGTGACGTATTATTGTTCACCACGGAACTCTGATCCACTCTCATGGCAATATGAACACACTGACCTTGGTACATCATTAGATCCCTCCACTGCTATGCTCTTTTGTTTATTTTATTGTTCTTACTACTTGTTGTTGATGAACACGTTAGTGGTTGAGAAATAGCCGCAGCGATGGACCGCGGAAGCATCTGTTTGCATCCATCACTGCCAAGTCTAAAACTGGACCACCTTCAGCATTCAACACACGTGTGAGCCGGAGTGCTCGTGGATGGGGAAGAAGGCGGCCGCGGGTATTTCATGAATAAAATACCAAACGAATATGTTTGGCAGGCACGTCAGCCGAGTCAATTTTTGCAATGAAGCCCGATCGAATGCGACTCCGAAGGCGTCATCAACAGAGCTAAATAGTGGCAAGCTTGAACTGAGTCGCTGTTTCAGACACACAATTCCGAGTCAGAGCATCACCGGCAGGATCGGAACAAGATGAACGGAGCAAGAAGCTACCGACGGGCTCATGCATGACACTGAGCCGAGGAAGCAAGGGGCGATCTAACAATGCGCTTGCAGGAATTTTCCGAGACCCCCTAGATCGATGGCAGACACCCTATAGTGTGGAATCTCTCGTGCTCGATGAATGCCTACTCAAAAGTACTTGATGTATTTTGTGTAGGAGCTGAGGCATCTTAGGTACAGGCAGCCCGGTCATTCCTCTGGGGATAGACGCGTGCGGGGTGAATTTTGTCTTGAAGGTGCTAGTGCTTTCTGTCACGTACTATAGTACTACTATCCTCTTAACAGATCTTTCGGTGGTAACTTCTAATAGAGTAATAGAGGACATTCATAGACACTCTGATCGTTAGTTGTAGAATTCTGCGCAGTCAAACTTCCATTGCCTTGGTAAGAGGGAAAATGCAAGGATCTAATTTTGGCTACACACCCATGATAAGGCATCTAAGTACGGAGTAGAGTGAACGCTCCAAGAGCTGTAAAACGTCAGATAGCATGAGATAAACCGGTCTGTAAAGCAGACCTACACTGCCAGCATACCGTACGAGGAATAGTGTTATCATGAGTGCTAAAATGAACGGAGACGGACGGTCAGTTCCAAGGCAGTGTAGTGATTATGATGCTTATCTGTTAACTTCTGAATCCGAAGCATTCCCATTAGTAGGGTATACAGTTCAGTGAAAAGCATCCATCAGGATGGAATGAATTCTGGGGTGGTCTCCCTGCTGTGCCTTGTTTTGCAGGGAGAAGGGGATGGCCGAAACCGTCTCCGCCTCATGGTATCTGGGTCCTCTGCCATGGAGAAACAGGATAGGGAATCGGTACGAGCCGACCGCGGGAGATCCATACGTACCACGCACTATCCACAGCAAACTTGGGGAATTGTTTTGATATGAAAGTGGCTTGATGTTTGAGGATGATCACGGCGTGGCGTCCGATCGGAGCAAAGCTAAGGATGGGAGGGAGGGACGGATGCGGGCAGCTCTCGGTCAGCAAGGGCCTAGGCTAGACTAACCCTACTATGCGGGCCGGTCTCAGCGCATCGGTATGTCATTATCATAATTAACATCGCTGTTGTCAATTCTCTCAGTTAGACAAAATTTACTACTAATGCTGTCTAGAATGTTGGGCTTGGATGCAAGCACCGCGCTGCAATGATGACTGTCTGCATGGAGTTTAAGTAGTTAGTAAGTAGATTGATTCTCTTTAGGGTGCGATCGGGTTGGATCCTCCCGAAGAAGTGGGGAGTTGCAGTGGGGGAAGTGGATGTATAGTCAAAAGTAGTAGTATACTATCTAAAACACACTGGTATAGATAGAGATAACTAGTGTATACCACCTACTTTGGGGAGATGACCTTAAACAAGCCATAAACAATCCAATTGAGCAGATTATTTGTTTGCGGGAGGGTAGACCAAATCACGTGCAGCGAGAGCAGCCCCGGAAGCGAAAGCGATCGAGGATCGAGATCGGAGACGCCCCAATCCTCGCCTCATTCCACCCTTCCCATCCCTGCTGAGTAAAAATTAAAGAGATGCTTCCGAACACTATGAGCACCTTCGAGTCAATATTGCTACCGCTTTCCTCTGCATTCCACTCCTTAGGCCGACATTCTGTCCCGAGTTCGGTAAACCATATTCTATGCTCCAGCTCTGCCGAAACCTCCCCGATTCCTTCATAACAAGCACAATAACAAGTATGGCGCTCCAAACATATAAGTCCCGCCTCGACCGGCGTCGAGATCTCAGATCGTATCCATCGCACATCTCGATCCGCTCAGAGAGGGTTAGTCAACTCAATACGTATCCGCCGTTCCCTTTCCTGGCACTTCGCCCAACATGAAGTGGTCCCAGCTCAACACGCTGGTTCTGCCAGTCCTGTCATGCCTCATCCAACTCTCCTCTTCCCGCGTCGTGGATTTTAGACTCGACTTGACATGGGAGGATAGCAATGTCGCGGGTATTTCCCGTAAGGCAATCCACACCAATGGCCAAGTCCCAGCACCAAATATCCGCGTGAACCAAGGCGACCAGGTGAGAGTTCTGGTCAACAACTCCATGCCATTCGGCACCACAGTCCACTGGCACGGTAAGCTCATCGCAGCGCGGCAACACGCCTATCCAAGCCGCGGCCTTGTTCTCTCTTCTTTCAGATACTGACCCACGGACTAGGTATCCCTCAGTATGGCACCCCATGGTCAGACGGGGTCCCGGGCCTCAACCAAGAAATGATCAAGCCTGGTGAGCAATTCTACTATGAATGGACAGCCACCGATTACGGCTCCTACGCCTATCATGCCCACACCAGAGCCCAGATGGACGACGGTCTCTATGGTGCCATCTATGTAGAACCGCGTGCAGACGTGCAGAGACCGTTTAGCAAGATCAGCAGCATCCCGTATGAACTCCAAGCCATGCTGCAAGCTGAAAAGAACACCCATCCAATCATGCTCTCCGATTGGCGAGTTTTCACGTCCGAGGAGACTTTGCAAATCGAAGAAGACTCTGGAGTTCAGGCGACCTGTACTAATGCCATCCTGGTCAATGGTAAAGGGTCGGTTATCTGCCCCCCGCAGGACCACATTAACGACCTCACCCGATCGGGTGAATGGACTGCGCTTTCAAGCGCAGGAAATAAAACCATGTCTGATATGGGGTAGGTCTATTGTCTTCTTCGTTCTTGATCTCTTCATTCCTTTGCTTTCTTTCTTGTTGGTATTGTTTCATGCTATCGATCGGTTCACTTACCATGTATCAGCTGCATGCCACCCCTTAAAGCCCGTCTGGGCGGGTTCTCCTTCGACGAGAGCAAGATTCCGCCGGGGTACTACCAGGGTTGTGTACCGACCGTTGGGGAGCAGGAAGTGCTGTCCGTCGATGCGAGATCCCGATACGTCAGCTACGACCTCATCAGTCTACCTGGCACGTCCAACTTGGTTTTCTCCATCGATGAACATCCCATGTATCTCTATGCGGTCGATGGCCGCTATGTCGATCCCGTGGTGGTCGATGCTATCAACGTCTACGCCGGATCGCGGTACTCGGTCCTTGTGAAGCTAGACCAACCCATTAGCATATATACCGTCCGCGTTGCTAACAAGTTCGCAAACCAAATCATCAACGGCACCGCCCTGATGTCCTACACTGGCTCCGAACCAAGCCAGTTCAACACCTCCACACGTTACATCAACGAAGTCGGTACCGCGGCTGGTATCAATGGCACTATCATTCTCGACGAGGCCCAAATCGTCCCATTTGAACAGGAGGCACCTGCTCCCGAGCCAGACCAGACCCAGATCCTTCAAGTCAACCTCTATAACGCCTCCTATCGCTGGACCCTCGGCCAAGCCAGTTATCCCATGGCCAATGAGGATCTCACTCCTCCGGCACTTTTCAACTACTCCTCAATCCCCGCCGAATATACTGTCATGACTAAGAACAACACCTGGGTAGACATTATCTTCAATATGACCTCGATCGGGCAGCCGCAGCACCCGATCCACAAACACTCCAACAAATTCTTTGTCCTTGGGTGGGGCTCCGGGGTATGGAAGTGGTCTACTGTGGCTGAGGCAATGGAAGAAATCCCTGATAGTCTCAACTTGGTGAACCCTCAACTCCGCGACACCTTCCAGACGCCGGCATCGACACCGGACCATAGCTGGTTAGCGATCCGCTATCATGTGGTCAACCCCGGTCCGTTCTTCATGCACTGTCATCTGTCCATGCACGAGAGCGGCGGGCTAGCTGTGGCCCTGTTAGATGGGGTGGATGCGTGGCCGACGGTACCAGACCGGTACCAGTTGCCAGCGTTGTCGGACCCGGCGGAGAACACCCCAGCAACGCATGGATTGATGGATCATCCTGGGTTTGACTGATTGACCATCCGTTAGCTGACTGTTTTCTTCACTACCAATCATCATCTTGCATATAGCCGGCGTTCTCGCAATGTGTGAGCGGCTTAGGGCGTTGGGGTTATTATTGGGTTCTACTCTGTTCTTGCTTGACGAATCTTCATGCATTGTTCTTTTAGACTTACATGTTGCTTCCTGTTTTTGTTTCGATGTTCATTTGAGACTGAATTATCTGGCATATACTTTGAAGATGGACATGGTAATCAGTTGTCGTTAGCATGCATCTATTTTATATCATTTAAATATAGCGTATGCAATTCGCTTTACGTGACTCGTCAGAGGAGCACCTTTCAACATGCTCCGCCACCTATAATGATACTAGTAGTACCTGCTATATTTTTGTTTCGCGAGTGCAGCTATGACTTGGTAATTGAACTCATAGTGAACGTCATATGCAATACTACCCCTTTGCGCGATACACACTCACCCATACAGATGTATATATATATATATTTTCTTATATCACCGTTCCTCCCCTACGAAGTTACAATAAAGACAAACATCCAACAGAGATTGCACTAAATTAATAGACAGACTGCGACTAGTACATGAAGCATAAATATCCACGAGCCAGGCGCGGTAGATCAAGAATTAGATATCACTACTACTACCTTCTAAGTCCGATTCAGCGCCCTCTTGGTACAAACTGCATGCTACCACATGCCACTACATAATCTTCTATCTATGTTTAATTCAATTAAACAGGGGTTCTTCTAGCCGAATAATGATATGTATTGTGTTTCTCCCAATCCACCCCTTGTGTATGTAACACACCCGCAATCCCAAGCAGAGTTTATGAAAACGGACCTGGACACCAACCTTTTATGGAATATCCTTCTACGAGGTAAAAAAAAGGATTCACCAAATACAAAGAACGTCTACCCCAAGTCCCTCAATACTCCGCTATCACCACTCGACGACTACCATAAGCACGTATAGCCGCGAAAGAAAGAAGGTCAGCGCCACGCAACGCGCAGCCAGACACCCAACACAAACCTTAGATATTCTCTGCATGCATGCATTAATGTGAACCCTCCTAGCAATCCAATTATCGCGTGGCTGGTCGAAAGGAAAGGAACCTCAACCATCCATCCCCCTGGATTGGGATTGAACGCGATTTGCCTCCCCTCCCACCTCCCCAATGCAAGGGATGGATCGCCGGACGCGGAAAAGAAGAAGAGTTATGTAAGTGTACCTGGCATTTCGCCCTTGGAAATGGAAGGACGGACACATTCTTAAATATGCGCTAGTGCTGCTGCATGCGATTGAGTGTCTCTTTTTCTCTCCTCATTATTGTGGTTGACTCCTATACGTGAGATACGAAGAACATCATCATAATCATCCAGTTATCTATCTATCTATCATGCATTCCTTCAAAGCCATCACCCTATTGAGCACGCTGCTCCTGGCGGGGGTTGGGAGTGCGAGGTTGAGTACGACTGTACGTGTTCTTTCTTAATCACTTAGCGTGTCTGATTACAACCCTACAATGGATGAATAATGGACAAGGCCACTAACTAACTGATTGACTACTGTATCTAGATCGGTCTCGAGACAGACGAAGGCAGCCACTCGGTCCAGATCCCCTTCGATGACTGTACTCAAGTTGGGCAGTTGTAAGTTGAATCACCTACCAATACTATCGACTTCATTTGATATCACATTATTATATACTTGCGAAGAAAAAGAATGAGGGGAAAAAAAGGCCGGATTCAACTAACAACAGTTTTTATCACCTGTCACAGTGAAGTTCGAGGCGTGTTCCTCTCCAAGACGTGTCGTCTTTTCACGTAAGTGTGACTTTCTTTTTGCGCAAGATACTGTGTATGATGCATATCGGGGAATCTGAAGATGCTAACTCGAGATTGTATACAATAGTGGAGTAGGCTGCACCGGACGAAACACCCTCCTGCAGCCTGGTGAACATACCTCGTCGGAGCCAGTTTATGTTGATAGTGTGCTTTGCTATCCGTGAAGAATATACTTGGTTGTTCTTAGGGTGGTCTGATATCGGGTGGTTTGGGGGTGTATAATAGGAGTTGAGGGATGAGTGGATGAATGGATGGAATATTGTGTCATACTAGGTGAATGGTAATACTTGGAGGTGGAATTTGCCTAAGTTCATTCCATCGGAAGCCGGGTAGAAAATATGGAAAGTAGTGCACTGTTTACGACTCTCCTTTGAGATGGGATTTAGATTGATGGGGTGATTCTCAAGGTACCACGTCGGCCTTTCGTATTTGATGTTTATGTAGGTCGTGGGTAGTAGGTCGTAGATGATATGTGCAGATGAGCTCCTGTGGAAGGCGACCTACTGCACGTAGATTCGCCATAGCATGTCGCTTACTGCTCCTGAAGGAACTGAGTCCTAAGAATTACTTTCTGGTTTCCGGTAAGATGCAGGTGCGATAGCCGTGTTTACCAGGCATCTTGACTGGTTTCCTTTCCCAGGCACCACCCCTGATAACTCGTGTATAATCTGCTCATCTCAACATCACTCCTTTTTCCTCCCCTCCAGCACACGCATCACATCCGTCACACTATCCTTGTCGCCCTTCTTCTTCTTCGGCCCTCGTTTCCTCTTCTTCCCGCCGCGTCCCTCGTTCTCCAGCACCACTTCCTCGTCGTCCTCGTCATCGTCATTGCGACTTCCTCCAAAGCCCATGTCCATATCCATCGCATCCAGGGCTTCCCGCCGACGCGCCTCCTCCAGGAACCTCTTTCGTCGAAGCGCCGTCTCGTCGTCGACATCTCCGGCATCAGCATCAGCAGCACCAGCCTCCTCGGATTGTCGTAACGCAGCAGCCCGTTTCAGAGCCGCCAGTAGAGTAGGATCTTTAGCCAACGGGTTCGACCGGTCCACCTCAGGAACTTCATCCGTCGTAGATGTAGAAAAGTAATTTCGAGGCCGGCTGGTTGTCACGTCCGGTTTCTTTGTATCACCAGTAGCAGGAGCTGGTTCTGTAGCCTTTGGTGGCTTGTCGCCATCTTCACTCTCATCCGACGAATCGTCATCATCTGGTAGATCACCAAGCGGGTTATAGTCATCTCCAACGCCAGCAAAAATATCATCGTCGTCATCATCCTCCGCCGACGCGGGAGCCTTGGATGCAACCTCTGCTGGAACCTCCATGCCCAGCGGCTTCGCATCTTTGTCCGGCATCAATAATCCAGCAGGCCCATCACCACCACCAACCTCACCAGGCTTGTCTAGCCATCTCACCTTCCTCTTCGTCTTGCCCTCCGCATCCGTGATCTGCAGAATCTCCTTCCTTCGCCCATTCTCATCCTGCTCCACCCAACGCTTCTTTTCCGCCTTGGACTCTCCCCCGATCCTCTTGAATTTAGTCCCCAACGCAGGCTCAGCCGGCTTCGCCGCCTCAGCCGCAGCAGCAGCCCGACTAGCCTTCAACTCCCTGAGAATCTCGTCTCTTGATTTTCTCTGAGCCATGACGCCCTTCTTCTTCTCCTTATTCTCCTTCGGGGCGGCAGACAATGCATCCACCCCCTCACCCTTTTCTCCCAACACCCGATCCAGCTCCTCATCCACATCTGCTACATCTTCTTTCTCCTTCCCCTCACCCTTTTCCCCTTCCTTTTCCAACACATCAACATCCTCACCCCCCTTAACCCTCCTCAATAACTCCCAATCCAACCCCTTGACCATATGCGTACTCTTCAAATCCCCACCTACCCCCATTTCAGCACGCAGGTTCTCAAACGTCGCCTGGTCAATCTGTCCTAGCTTGACCATCTCCTCCAACGCCTTGACACGCTTCTCCAGATCCGACACATCGCCACCACCATCTCCCCCTTCTTCCGCTTCTTCCTTTTGGCGCAACAGCGCAGCCCGATCTTGATACCCGGACGGTAATTTCGTTCCCTTGGGGGCGGCGGAGGATTTGAATCTCTTGGAAGCGGGTTGGGCTTCGCGGCGGTATTCGGCTAGTTGGCGCGCAAAGTCGACATTTGTTAAGGCACGGCTGTGACGAAAATGGGTGTGGTTAGTGAGATCGACCATTTAGAATGAAAGGTTACAAGCGCAGGTGGTGTTTTGGGGGCATCAGCTCACGGTGTCATGGGGATGCTGGAGCGGAGGCGCGAGCCCAGAGCGCCGGCTGCGGGGGTCGCATTGCCGATGCTTTTGCGTGGTTGTTGTTGGGATGAAGAGGATGCATCTGGACTATTGGATTGGGCGGGTTTAGAGGAAGGGTTGTCGAGGACAAGGCGACGGAATTGGTCGTTGTTCATGGCTGGAAGCGATGCGATGCGGAGGGCGGAGGTTGTCTAACTGTGAGGTGGTTTTGCGAAAGGGGATCCTTTCCGGGGAGGGTTGAAGAAGATGACACTAATGGCACATGTCTCACAGTAAGATGCACGTAGTAGGAGAGATTATGTTTGTAGCGGGTTCAATCAAGATGGGGGAAAGTCGCGGCTTCATGCGAAAGATGTTCAGACGTCAGGTTCTTGGCATCGGCATCGGCGATAACTGAAGTGCCTGAGGCTGACTATCTAGACTAAATACAAAATTACCGCAATTTTGTGTAAGATCGCCTGATTGATTACTTCGCAAAATATAACGGTATGTAACTTCATAATATTATACGCCTTAAAAGGTACATGGTTTAAAGCGGCACCAGAAATGGGGAGAAGAGCGGCGGGAGATTGATACGACTAATAAGCCCTCCAACGGCCTCAAGGGAGGCTCCTAATTACTTTGTCCTACAGATGGCACTCAAGCTAACTATTAGTTAATTTTAGGTTAAAATACTTTGTGCCAGAGGATCTACAGAATGTTTGATTTATGTGTTATTTTATTTTATAATTATTTTTTTTCTCCAACTCAAGTGCCAATTGACTACTAAGATCAATTGTCCTAAATCATCATTGACAATAGAATGGTATAATATGAAACATCCAACATTAGACACAAATTACAAAAATAAAGAGAATTTCCGATGGTCTAGATTGATTACTATCAGAAACTAGTTTAGTCGCGGAGGATTGAACAGGAAGAAAGTATCATATCAGGCCATAAGCTCGCTCCTCTTTCCTCTTTCTCCCGCGCGCGCCCTTTTTGTCCCTTTTTCACATGTCACGCCACTCCCCTTGTGTCAATCCAAACTCTCCAACTTTCCTTCCAACACTTTTTCTTCCTCATCCCTGCCTCATTGCTGCCTGCTTGTTCTTCGCAGCATTATTTACCCTCTATCTCTCTCCTCCGATCCACCGCCATCGAAATATGCCCTTTGCATCCCGCCATTTTTCCTTGTCCGCTCCATTCTGACCTCCCTTGACCTTTCCACCTCCGCGACCCCCCCCCGTCTCCCGCAAAAATGGCCGCTGTTGTCGCCAACGGCCATACCACCCCCTCTGCCGATGTCGCCAAACAGCGCAGGCTAATTCACCACCATGCCGATGTCGTGATTGTGGGCGCCGGAATACTGGGATGTGCATTGGCTGTGGCACTTGGAAGACAAGGGCGTAGCGTCCTACTACTGGAGGCGTCCATGAAGGAGCCTGACCGGATCGTCGGAGAATTGCTACAGCCTGGCGGTGTCGAGGCGCTCGAGAAATTGGGTCTTGCCGATTGTCTGGAAGACATTGACGCCATCCCAGCCAAGGGCTACTATGTGTCGTACTTTGGGAAACCCGTCTCGTTCACCTACCCCAAGCCCTCCCCGTCGTCGCCCGCCCCGCAAGGGCGTTGTTTCCACCATGGCCGCTTCGTCATGAAGCTGCGGGCTGCCGCGCTGGCCTGTCCCAACGTCACGGTCGTAGAGACCAAGGCCACCGACTTGGTCACTTGCTCCCACACCAAGCAGGTTCTTGGTGTCGAGTGTGTGACCGGCGACATGAAGGATTGCTACTTTGGCCATCTGACGGTGGTGGCCGATGGCTACGCCTCCAAATTCCGCAAACAATACCACACCAATACCCCCAAGGTCCGGTCCAGGTTCTGGGGCTTGGAGTTGATCGATGCAGACCTTCCAAAGCTTTACCATGGCCACGTCCTCCTCAGCGACAATGCCCCTATCCTCGTCTACCAGATTGGCACCCACGAAACCCGCATCCTCATCGACATCCCAGAGAATCTCCCATCAGCCTCCGTCAAGAACGGCGGTGTCAAGAACCACCTTCGCAACGTCGTCCTCCCGTCCCTTCCCAAATCTATTCAGCCTTCATTCATTGCTGCGTTGGACAAGGGTCAGCTGCGCTCTATGCCAAATTCATATCTCCCTAGTGCTCCGAACAAGACTCCCGGTCTGGTCATTTTAGGAGATGCGCTCAACATGCGGCATCCGCTGACCGGTGGAGGAATGACCGTCGCATTCACCGACGTTGTGGTCCTGCGTGACCTGCTCAGTCCGGAGAAGGTCCCCACTCTCGCTAATCATGAACAAGTCCTGCGACAGCTGTCCTCCTTCCACTGGCGACGGAAGAAAGCATCCTCAGTCATCAACATCTTAGCGCAGGCTCTCTATGCCCTGTTCGCTGCCAATGGTTTGTCTATCCTCTCCCCCATTGCACCCAGAGTCCCAGCAGCTAACGCCAGACCCCTCTGGGGCAAATCTAGATGAAAATTTGCGTGCTCTTCAACGAGGCTGCTTCCGTTACTTCGAGCTAGGAATGACCAGCGGCCCCGTAGGTCTTCTAGGTGGACTGATTAAAAAGCCCGACGTTCTGTTCTGGCATTTCTTCAGTGTCGCCTTTCTCTCTCTCTGGCTCGTCATCACCGAGCATCCCTTCTACATGCTGCCTCTGGCCTTACTGAAATGCATCATGGTTTTCTGGACCGCATGTGTTGTGATTTTCCCCTACATGCTCATAGAGGCATTCTGCTAAGGGGGAATCGTCACTGCCGTCACCATTACTACCACCATCATCAGCAACATCATCCTCATTTACCCTACATGTCTTCCCCTAACTTCATCCTACGTCTTTATTTATACCTAATGAACCCACACCGGGTTAATTCATTTCAATGAGTTGCAAGTGCCGAAGAAGCCATGACCACCTATCCCGTACTTATGTATTTATCACACCAGATCTGATCACTTTTCTTGTCATATATACTTTGTGTTACCTTTTAATACCTCCCTCTCTTGCTTCTGGTCCTACATGTATTATTAGAAACACCTTTTGTCTTCTTGCTCCAATAC